CGCCTATAGTTTATCATCAACCTCTCAAATGGGACAAATGCATCGGTGGCTCTTATGGCGGGGATTGTCTCGGTCCCTGTTTGGTGTCTTCTCCAGCTTTTGATTTCAACCTCGATTACATACTAGAAACGACATTCACACACACACACACACACACACACGCAGATACACACACACACACACACACACACACACACACACACACACACACACACACACACACACACACACACACACACACACACACACACACACGTCAGCGATCCACCACGACACGGGCGCTACCGCATTCTCAGAATGAGCGGATCCGGCAGATCAACGTCTTCAGCGTGATGATGATGATGGTGGTGGCGGCAATGATGATGATGATGATGATGATGATGATGATGATGATGATGATGATGATGATGATGATGATGATGATGATGATGATGACAGTATTTGCTGCTGTTGGTCTTTGTTTGTTTGTTGTCGTTGCTGGTGTCGTTGGTGGCCATGCCTTCCCTTCTGTCCCCTCTTCGTCTTCGTATGTTGGCACGCCTTGGTTTCTGGAGCTTTGTTTCTTGCGCCTACTCCGTGTTATTCGCCCAATTCAGTCCATGGCACGTGTGTTATCAATGCCCATCGTGCTCCCCGGCTGTTTTGCTTATTGCCTTGTTATCGCAGTTCATTTCCGCTACGGTCCAACGTCACTGGCACGCGGGTCGATTGCCATCATGAACACACTAAACGACTATACAACACCGCAACACAGCACCATAACATGGCACCGTAACACAACGGACAGGGCTTACGGGGAAACGGAAGGGGGGTCATTTATGGTGCAAGAAAGAAGAAGCACAAACAAGTATTGGGGAGGGGGAGGCACGTCAACCCCAGCAACTGTTGCTGTTCAAACGTCAGAACAGCACAAAGGGCGGGGGCGAGGGTGAAAGCTGTCACACGGAAGCGAGAAGCCGGGAAGGAGGCACACTGACAAAATAGGGTGCGTGAAGGCACTTTTGATGAAGACAGACGGATAGACAGACAGACAGAGGCAGGCAGGCGGGCAGGCGGGCAGGCAGACAGACATGCAGACACACAGACACACACACACGCACACCAAGCACACACACGCACACCAAGCACACACACGCACACCAAGCACACACACAGACAGACACACATGCACACCAAACACGCACACACACGCACACACACGCACACACACGCACACGACGGTCAAGGGATGGCAAGGTCGATGGCGGCTGCCCAGGCCTGCAGCTCGCTGGAGGAATCAGACGGGCTGCGGAGAACAAACGTGCGCGCGCTTGTCTCCAGCAGCAGCTCTGGTGGGCTCTGCTTGTCCAGTAACCGCACACGCTTGATGTCGGACAGGCGAATGAACCCACACGGCGCCTCAAACGAGTGCTTGTGGTACGACAACTGGCCATCCTCAATCTGGAACCACCTCTTCTTGAAGGCTGTGTTCACCTTGCCTCGTTTCAGCAGGTAGCCAGTCAAGTCCTCCTGCTTTGGGGGTTTCTCCTCGCATGGCGTGATGACGGGCATTCCACCTTCCAGCCCGTACTTGTCCCGAATCTTCTGATGCCGCTCATTCAACTTGGCCCTGCATGGAACGGCGGAGGGGGGACGGGGGCAAAACAGAGTGGAGATTGGTGGTGGGTTGCATTTGTTTCATTGCTGTGATCGTGCGAAGCACGTGCAGAGCAAACGTGTGCTCGGGCGTACTTCATGCCACGTTTTCTTCACCACACTGTTTGCCCCAAAGTACCATGCAACACACACACACACACGCACGCACGCACACGCACGCACGCACACACGCACCTGCGTTGTTGCTGCTTGATTTGTCTTTGCCGACGGGCCTCTTCCTCCCGCAGCGCCTCCTTGTCCTTTTTCTTCTTCTTTTTCTTCTCCTTCTCTTGTGTCTTGGGATCAAGCTCGTCCTGCGTCGTCAAAGGCAAAGTACGGCGTGAGAGTGTGTGTGGAAATGAAAGCGTATCGGGTAGTTTGGACAACACGCACAACGGGTACTGTCATGCGCAGCACAAAACCACACACACACACACACACACACACACACACACACACACACACACACACACACACACACACACACACACACACACACGCGCAAACACACAAACACACAAACACACAAACGCACAAACACACAAACACACAAACACACAAACACACAAATACACACACACACACAAACACACCAACACACAAATACACGTACAAACACAGCACATTGACAAACTCACGGCGAAAGGCATGGATTCCTGTGCCTGACGCATCTTCGAGCCCACCATGTGGCTCATCAACACTGCATTGCGACCACTCAGTCAGGACACAAGAAACAACAAGCAAGCAAGCAAAAGGCAAGGAAGGCGCGCAGGTCCTGAGGACAGTCCTGAGGACACATCCAATAACAGACAACAACATACAACAACAGACAGCAACATGCAACAACAACATACAAACAAAATACAGACAAGAACACACGCACCTCCTAAACAAACAACCCATCATTCATATCCATCCAGCCAACTCACTCTGTTCCGCCATGTTTCGCCTTGGTTGTAGAAAATTTGTGAATGGTTTCCTGTAATTGGATATTTTCGTCAGGATTGTCAATCCAAGCCCAAAACGCCACCAACCATGACAGGCATCTTGGTGCTCGTGCAGCCAAGATGCAGGCGCGACCACACAACACTGCTGTTGCGGTTGGGAGGCACACCAAAACCGGACGGAAGCGAGCACGACGACAAGCAACAAAAAAGCTGCACACACACACACACGCACACACGCCAGCGACGTAGCACAGACGTAGCAGAGGCTGGACGACTTAGGACAGACACGAGGAGCTGCGTTGCATTTCATCCTTTTGAGCATTTGCGTGGGCCGCTTTCCGTTATCGTTTCGCTGACGACAGGCACACGCAGCACCAACCTTCCTTCCTTCCTTCCTGCCTTCCTTCCTTCCTGCCTGCCTGCCTGCGTGGTTTGACTTATTCACCACCTCATTCTGCACGAGCGAAACAAACACCTCCGCTGAACACACAAGACCTTGTGTCTGACGGTGTGCTCGTGGGTCGGGGACCTAGCCAAGAAGAAACCAATGTAAGCGATGCATTGTCCAATCGCTTGTTTCACTTGTTCCGCGCCCCTTCCCCCAGCTCTTCGTTTCACCCACTTTGCTTCTTGCATGCTCACCCATTCACACTCACACAACAACAGACAAAGCAGCACTCATTGCACAATCAGTACACGCGCACACGAACACTAGCACCACAAAGACTAACAGCACACACAACGCACACTCACAACGCTCTTCGCCGCAGTAGCTGAACACGACATCAGCACACCTTTGCTTGCATCCTCATGAAACAACGAGTGCCTGCAGGCAAGTGTCATGGGTGTGTGCAACAAGCGGTGACGACGACAACTGCGACGACAACAGCGATGCCCCAGAACCACCACAGAGCCAGAATACCACATCTCTGCCTGAGCCAGCATCTCCAACACATCCACTCCCATCTCGTCATGCTGCTCTTCTTCCTCCTGGCATCTTGCTTGCAAGCACAAGTCCTCGCACAATCAGGTAAACACAACGCGTTTCTGTTACGACACAAACCTCACCCATCCGCTCGTCAGCAACTCCTGAGCACCACTGGAATGACTGGACCCTTTCTTTTCTCACCCCTTGCACACACATACACATACATACACACATACACATACACATACACATACACATACACACACGTACACACGTAAACACACATACATACACATACACATACACACATACACACACGTACACACGTAAACACACAAACATACACATACACATACACACATACACACACGTACACACACGTACACACGTAAACACACATACATACATACATACACATACACACACCATACAATTTCAGACTTGTGCCAGGAAGCACCCTGTGGGTTTGTCAACTCGACATGCAGAGTTGAAGTGCACGAGAGCAACGACACCGCAACAGTGTATGAGCGCGTGTGCGGGTGCGAGGCAGGCTACACCCTCGTGCTCCCGCCAGCAATCACAACCACAACCACAACAACCAGCACAACGCAGCCTGTCAATGGCAACACCACGACAACAACAGCAACAACAATCACATCCATCACAGCCAACGGCAACACAACTGCACCAGCGATGACAACGGCTGCCGCTTTTCACGTGCTCACCCCTTCCTACGCAAACGCAACCTGCCAAGACATTAACGCGTGCGCCTGGTTCCCCTGTGGGGACAACAGTATCTGCACCGACTTGCCGGCACCAGCACCAAACTCCACCCTTGGGCGCACATGCACGTGCGCGCCTGGGTTTGAGCTTGCGCCAGGCCAGCCAGCTGACGGCAATTGCGTTGACATCGACGCATGCGCCGCCAACCCATGCCACACAAACGCAAACTGCACGGACCTCCCGGCACCAGCTGATGGCACAGAGACCGGTCGCGTATGCTCGTGCTTGGAAGGGTACGCGGGTGATGGGATCACCAACTGCACCAACATCAACGCATGCTCGTTCTTCCCGTGCCACCCTGAGTTTGGCGTGTGCACGGATCTTCCACCGCCAGCACCCAACTCAACAGAGGGGCGGTCCTGTCGATGCGACTACGGCTACACGGGTAATGGAGAGGACATCTGCTTCGACGTGAACGCGTGTCGTCGCAACCCATGTGATGTCAACGCCATGTGCACCGACCTTCCACCGCCCGCGCTCAACAGGCCGGAGGGGCGCATCTGCGATTGCTACCCGGGCTTCTTCGGTGACGGCGACTACTGCATTGGTGTGTGTGTGTGTGTGTGTGTGCATGTGTGTGTGTGTGTGTGTGTGTGTGTGTGTGTGTGTGTGTGTGTGTGATGTGTGTGTGTGTGTGTGTGTGCGTTCGCGCGCGCGTGTGTGTGCGCGTGTGTGTGTGTGCGTATGTTTGCAAACTGTGTGTGTGTGTATGAAAGTGTGTATGCAGACCTTGCGTGCACATGCACATGGCGTTCTTGCACATTCAGCAGCTCACCTCCCCTTCCACCACCTCCCCTTCCACCACCACCACTGCCTTCACGGATCAATAGGGGAGCCGCTGGTACAAGTTGTCGCTGCCGCTGAGAATAATGCTGTTCGAGTGGGAAGCTATGTCACTGCCTTTGCCACCATTCCCGTGACCGCAAGCACGAGCAACGTCAGCGTCTTGCTGCGCACACAACACGACACCCCGTTTGCGAAGCTCGTGTTTGCCACAACACCAGTTATGGCCTTCGTCGTCAACGGTACCATCCACCAGACCTTCAACAGCACAGACCGCAATGTCACGGGCGCTGCCTTGCCTTCTGCAGCCGTTCTCACTTGGGGTACCAACACCTACAACAGCAACAGCAACAACTACAGCAGCATCCCGTTTGCATTTGAGCGCGTCAACGATACTGCGGTGCTGCTGTCGTTTGGGCTGCTGGACACCACACACCCGGCATCACCCCCAGCCGTCGCCGTCACTGCACAGCTTGCCGTGCTCGGTGATGTCAGTGCCGGCAGACAGGAGGAGCTGTCCATCAGGGCCACAGTGGTTCACGATGGCCTTCATCCGGTTCCAATCAGCGCCACGGCGTACGCGTCCGTTGTCCACCCGAGCGTTGACGCGGTGTTCAGCCCATCACAAGTGCCGCCCTTTCGAAACGCACTGGAAACCACAACCGTCGCAATCGCATTCACGGCACCGTCGCTGCCACTCTACAACGCCACAATCGCCGTTGTTGCCGGCGCACAGGGCGGGGGTGCAGACGCATCCGCACAGGTCATCAATGCAACGCTGGCTTTCCCATGCCTGTTTGCGACGCAACCAAACACAACTGCAACGACAACGGGACCTGCAACGGCAAACAGCACGTGGTGTTCCGGCACGAGTGCCACGCTCAGCGCCCTCAACACAACGGCGGGTGGCGTCGCTGAGTTTGAAGTGGAGCTGAGCCTCACGGATCTGGCTCGCAGCAACGCCACGGTCACGCTGCCCGAGATTGAGGTGTCCTTCTTTGCATGGCCGATCACCCCTGATACCACCACAACCCCAAGCACAACCAACACAACAGGGAGCGCCATCGCAGCGGCGCCCGCTGTCAACCCACGTTATACGCAACGCCTGCAGCTGAACCCTCGCACCATGCGCTTGCCCACTATCTCAGCAACCACAACCCTTTCCACCATATCGTGCTTCGCCTCCGCAACAACAGCGCCGCCGCCATCATCATCATCATCATCATCATCGTCACCACAATCAGATGACGCAGATGCTGATGCGACTGCTGTTGTTGTCAGCGCCCCTGGTGCCCTCCTGTACATGTGCACAGAGATTGCCGGGCCATACCTCCGCTTCGATCTTGGGTTGCAGTACTCCCTGCAGGCTGGGCTGGCGAGCAGCGTCGTTGTCTCCACCAATGCCCCAGAGGACGCTGTGGGTGGTGCCAGTGGTGCAGTGCAGGCAATTGTGCAGGCTGTAAACACCACAACCACCAACGCAACAGCGGCTGCTGGTGACAGCGACACAGACCGCGTGCTGTTGTCTGCGCGGGATTTGCTCGTCAACACCAGCACGAACTCCCTGATCATCCAGACAGCCATTCGCATCAGTAGTGAACACACCCCACTGTTGACAGCCGGGCAACAGCTGAGCATCGACGTGCAGGCTGTCGCCCTGCCAGGCCTCGCATCAGCACAGGCCGCCATCATGGGTGCTTCGCACTTTGCAGTTGAGCTGCTGGAGCCAGCGCTTGAGCTGGCGTATGTCGCAGAGGACGTGCCGCACCATCTGGATGCCGGCGATGTCATTGCACACCGCATTCACCTTGCGCACCGGCCCTGGTCATCTGCTCCTGCTTACGACCTCTGTGTCACCCTCACGGCCTCGCCATTCCTGTCCTTCATCTCGCCGACGGATACGAAGCTGTTGCTTCCCCAAGGCCTCAACTGCACGCTCTCCAATGACCAGAGTGGCCATATGGCTTCAAACTGGAACGATGATGCTGACGACGGTTTCAATACGCTCACGTTCTGCTGTGCACAACCGCTCTCCCCAACCAACAACAGCAGCGTGTCTGCCCTTGTGCTGAGCACCGTGGCCGGAAACACGGCTCCACTCACGCCGCTCTACTTTGCTGCAACCGCCACCTACACCTCTGCCCCGCCGCCGCCAAGCAACACCTCAAGCAACAGCAATACTACCATCAGCAGCAGCAGCATCGCCAGCGACCCCAATACAGTGGCGTTGGCATCCGCTGTGCTCTCAGCCAACAACAGCTCCCTCACTGACCCTGTCAGACACTATGTTGCTGATGTGGAACGCAACACCACACACGTGCTTGCTGTGCCGCTGGTACATGAAGGATCACCGCCTAGTACAGCGGCAGGTGCCGTGTACGTGAACGACGCCAGTGTTGTGCAGGAGGTGTGTGTCACCGCACCATTCAGCCCAGAGTACCAGGACCCGCTGCCTGCAAGCATTGTGGATGGCGTGCAGGTACATCTCTTGTTGGAGCTGGAGTCCTCCATCACCAGCAGCATGACACCGACAAACTGGTCCATCGTCCCACGCTCTATCCAGCACACCGCCTTCGGGTTTGAGGCAACCCTACTCCCAGCAGAAACCATTGTCACGCTCAACTCGACGTTTTCGCGCGTTGTGCTTCGTGACATGCACAGCACGGCTTCAACCACCCACAGCAGCACCAATCTCACGCTTACGGGCGCGCTGCAGCAGCTGTTGTCCAACATGACCGCGTCCACGGTTGACGATGCCACGATTTGCTTTGACGTGCAGCGACAGTCCGAGACAGCAGCAGGCGCCACCTCCCTCTTTCCTGTGCAGAACGCTGCTGTTGTGGCACTGAACGAGACAACAGCAGCTTCTGCGCGGTCCCTGTTGACGGTTGAGTACCGCACACCATCCGCAATTCAGGGCTGGCCTGCTGTGGAGCTGCAACCATCGCCGTCGCCGTGGTTTGAGATTGGCACGACCGTGGCACCAACTTCTCGCATTTCCCTCCACGCAACAGACAACGCGGACACACCAAGCAACGACGTCTCTCTCCACGAGATCCTGACGTTTGAGGTGCGTACATGCACTTGTGGATATGCATGACGAGAAGACGGAGGGGAGGAGGTTGGTGCACATGACACCCACGTGTACGGTGTGTGTGTGTGTATGTATGTGTGTGTGTGTGTGTGGTCGGTGTATGTGTGTGTACATGTACACACACGATTGTAAGTGGTGTATCTGTGTTGTCGGTGTACACACACGATTGTAAGTGGTGTATCTGTGTTGTCGGTGTACACACACGATTGTAAGTGGTGTATGTGTGTGCTCACGTTGTTTGTGAATGTGAAACTTGAACATGCGTACTCGTGTCCCCATGTTCGTGATGTGATGTGACGCAAATCAACTTAATCGCCAACAGCGACAGCTTCTCTCTCTCTCTCTCTCACACCTTTTTCATGCAACTCCCAACACATTCATTGTCCATTGTGACGTCAGGCTCGCGTGGAATTGCCGTTTGGCGAGTACAACCTGACCCTCGACTTCGTGCTGGACCCCTACACAAACAAGAACGCGTTTGTGGTTCCCGATGCGTCTGACTTCTTCATTGCCAGTCTGCCAGCGTGCCTGTCCAACACCACCGCCTTCGCTGTTGAAGTACCAACCATGGCAACCCCAAAGCAAGTGCGCGTGGTGTTTGGCACTGTGCAGTGCAAGCAGGACCCAAGTGAAGCCAACACGGTGTTTCCAGCCGACAACACCCTCAAGGTGCAGCTGCAAACGGCAGTTGTCGACGAACATGCTGCTGATCCACTGCTCTCTGCAAACCGTCGGCGCCACTTTGTTGACCTGACGGCGGAGTACACATCTGCGCTTGGCACCAACACGACCGCAGTGTGGTGGGCAGACGTGACTGTCGTGCACCCGCAGCTTCGCCTGCTCACGTGGATGGACACAGACGCGCGCGACTCCGAGGCTGGCGACGTTGTCACCTACATGTTCTACGTCACGCACGACGTCAACTCGACAGCCCCGGCCTATGATCTGCAGCTGCTCTCCACTCCCAACGTGCACCACGCCATCCAGAACGACACCATCAAGTGCCTCGAATTCTGCGACGCGGAGGAGGCAACGCAGGTCACCGCAACAGACCAAGGTGGACTGCTGTTCACCATCCCACGCCTGCCACTGGGCAAGAACGCGTACTGGCGGTGGAAGGCAACGGTGCTGCAGACCGTGCCCGCCGGTCGTCGTCTTCGCTCCGACTACGACTTCCGCTTCGACACGCACCCGCGCAACGCGAGCACAGCCACGCCACTGGACGACAGCGCCGGCGTGCCGCTTGTTGGATACGAGGACACGGAGAGCACGTATCACACGATGGACATTGAAGACGCTAACTTCACGGGCCTTCCCGTGTTCAGCAGCATCGCCACGACGCGTGAGTCTCCAAGATACGATGTCGTGCCAGATGAGCTCTTCATCCTCAACTACACCATCACGCTGCCTGCGTCGACAACGGATACGCGCGTTACCATCTACATGCCGTCTGCCTACATTGCGCTCAGCGGCACCGTGACGGGCGTTGGTGGCCTCATCCGCAACAGTTCGCTCGATGCTGGTGACATGGCCGATCTTCTGAGTGGCGGTCGCAGCGTCAAGTTTGACTTTGGTCGAGTGCAGCGCTTGATTGCTGCTGCTGCCTCCTCCTCGTCATCGTCATCGTCGTCGCAGCAAAATGGGACCACCACGATGGAAGCGGAGGAACAGGCATCATCCCTGTTCATGTCCGTGCTGTGCCATGCGGAGCCTTCGTTCTTCGGTAGCAACTACGCGTTGCGTGACACGGAGCAGCTCATCTTTGCGCGCCTGTCGTTTGACGGATCCGTGGCGGACGTGGAGGTCAACACAACAGCACGGGAGCCGCGCCTGCTGCTCTCGGATCCCATCAACCACCGCCACGATGCGGGTGACGTGGTGACATTTGCAGTTGTGCTCAACCACGACAACCGCACCACCTCTGCTGACGCCTACGACGTCTTCCTCGCGTACGCGTTCTCTGACAAGGTTGTTCCAGACAACGCCACCGCAGTCGCCTGTCTCGTCAACACCACAGATCCCTTGGTTGCCAGTGCACCCGCCTGCCTCCCCTTGGCTTCGACCATCGCCTCCCCCTCCACCACTGCGGCCACACCCGCCAACAACAGCAGCAGTGTCAACAGCACGGGTACTACAACTGCCACTAGCACCAGCGCGATGACAACAACAACAACAACAAGCACAAGCAGTGACGGTGGTGGCGATAATTCACTTCCGCTGACGCTGACTGCACAAGGGTTTGAGTTGCGGCTTGCGCACCTGCGTCCATTTCAGCGCGTGCACATTGTGATTGAAGGGCAGGTTGTGCAGGACGTAATCCCACAAGACAAGCTTGTCAACTCCGCAAGCCTGCGCTACGACACAAGCCCCGACAACGAGACCGCCGCGTACCCTGGAAAAGAGTACGCGCTTGACCTTGACGTGACGACGGTGGTTGTCAGCCCCGTTGCCCGCTACGAGGTGACCAGCTTATCCGAGGCTGAGACCCTGGACAACGTGCTCACAATTGGCGAGGAGGCGACCGTGGATGTGCTGTGGAACCTTCCTGAGGGTGAGATGCCGGGCGCGGTGCTGGCGGTGTCCGTGCCGCCGCACACGACGTTCCTCAACGCAACGATAGTTCGCATTGGGCGGTCGATTAGCGGCTCCAATGTTGTGCCATATCAGACGTATGACGACAACTTTGCTGTGCTTCCATCTGACCCAACCGCTGTTCTCATCGACCTGGGTGACCTCAGCAACACCTTCAACAACACCGTCAACCTGCAAGACGACATTCACGTGAGTTGTTTGTGTGTGCGTGTGCGTGTGCGTGAGTTGTGTGCGCGCGCACGTGTGTGTGTGTGTGTGTGTGCGTGTGTATGTTAGTTGTGGTTATACGTTTTCTTATATCTGTTTACCTGTGTGCGTGTGTGTGTTGGACGATCATTTCTCATCTCACCTCACGCAAACTCGACGACGTTGTTGTGCGCATCGACTTCTCTGCCTTTCCCTGCACGGCTTTCATAACCACAGGTCCGCGTTCGCTTCTTCGTGGACAATGATCCCGCCAATGCGCTCAACACGTTCATCAACGTTGAGACTGGGCTGGCGTGGCTTGGTTCTGCGCGGTGGGTGGACAGCAGCTATCCCATCAAGATTGCAGAGCCGCTGGTGTCCAGCTCCGTCTCCACACCAACAGCCCGCCCTGATGCACAGGACCTGCTCACATACACAACCATTGTGCAGCATGACGCTGCTTCAACGTCCCCGATTTACAGGGTGCGTGCGCATGTGTGTATGTGCATTTGTGCACGTGTTTGTGTGCGTACTTGTATGCGTACTTGTGTGCGCACTTGTGTGCGTACTTGTGAGCAGTTTCGTGCTCGTATAGTTGATGTGCATGCATACCCATGCCGCCTTCTCATCCAGCCAACACTCGTGACGTGCGCACACACATGCACTCACTCACTCACTCACTCATACTCGCTCACTCACTCACTCACTCATACTCGCTCACTCATACTCGCTCGCTCGCTCGCTCACTCTTCCGCTTCCGCTATTCATGCAGGCGACAGTGGTGGTGACCACACCAGCAGAGGTGCAGCTGCAAACGGGTAGCATTGACATCTTCAGCGGAACAGTGCTGTCATCAACCCCAACACTGCGCGTGGTGAACGCATCTGTGTTTGAGGTTGGGTTTGAGAAGATGAGCGTGCTCGCGAGCGACGGGGACGAGAAGCTGACCATCACATATGACGTCGTGGTTGTGGATGAGATTCGAGCAAACGAAGACATCATCGTGACGACGACCAACTCGTGGTGGTCCACGCCAACCAACTTTACCCACCCTGGCCGCTTCCGCGATGGCTTCAACGACACATCACCCTACTTTGGCGAGACATCACAGCACATCAACCCGGCGAAGCAGAACAGTGTGACCATGTATCTGGATCGCTCCTCCCTCGAAGACACCATCGGCACGCAAGTCAACGTTGCTGAGGAGCTGGTGTATCGCTCGTGCATCACCGTGCTGGAGGGCCACACCAACGTGTCCCTCGCCATCGCCATGCACTCTGGACTGGACTTCCTCAACGCCAGCTTGTACTCCGTCGGCGCCGACATCGCAGAGTCGCTGTCCTTTGTTGAAGGCGACATGTTCAACGCCACAACAGATGACAGCACCGGTGGACCTTTGGTCCTGTTTGCCTTTGGTGAACTCGTCAACACCGCCACGAACGTTGAAGATGATGGTGACGCCATCTGCATTGAGCTGGCCGCCCTCGTTGCAAACATGTGCGTATTATTGCGTGTTAGGGAAGTGTGTGTGTGTTGCGTGTTTGCGTGTGTGTGCGTGTGTTTGTGTGTGTGGTTTGTCTGTGTTGTGTTGTTGCATGTGGTTTGTGTATGTGTATATGTGCGTGTGTTGCGCATGTGTGTGTGTGTATGTGGTTTGTGTGTGTGTACAATTGACGCCATGTGTCTCCGTCTGTACCGTTTTGTCTCTCCCTCTCTGTATGTCTCCTGATGTGCGGTTGAGTCGCAGACGTCTGCAATAGCATGCCATCGCTCACCCTCTTCCGCGTTGTTGTTTACTAACACTCCCAGCCCTGAAAACATCAACGGGATTGTGCTGCCGGCGACGGCCACGCTCGTGACCGACACGACGCAGCTGACATCCAGCACTGAGACTGTGCGCGTCATCGAACCCGTCGTCACCACCGACCCCGTGGCCATCACAATCCCAGGACAGGTGGGTTCCAGCATGCGCACAGTCTTGATTAGGCGATTTGCACCACTTGTCTCGTGTCACTCTGCCCATAGCATCTTGCACACTTGCCCTGTTGGCCACACTACAACCACTGTGGTTTGGGGCCATCGCTGGACACACGCACACTCACACACACATACACACACATGCGCTCGCATTCGACACACACACACACACACACACTCACTCATACGCACACACTCACCCCCCCCCCCCACACACACACACCATAGGGCGCTGTGGAAGTGCTGAGCATTGACAGTGAGGCGGTGGATGCTGGCGATGAGGTTTCATTTGAGATTACGGTGCGGCACTTGCCATCATCGACCTCCACGACGTTTGACGTGTTCATCGAGGCTCATCTGCCCGACTACACGGCTGTCGTCTCCGTGCAGCAAGGCACCCTGCCGACCACCATCAACACCACCGTGCCGGGGTATGTCGTGTGGCACCTGCCCAAACTCACGCTGGAGGAAGAGTCCTACACCACGTCCGTCACTGTCCGCGTACGCAACGACATCATCCCATCTGCCGCCGACCTGAAGTGCGACGTCACCACCACGGCACACTCGTCCCCGCTCGCAGACAACGCAGACGCAAAGGCGTTCACCAGCGTTGCAGAGTCGGCTGTTCTCCTCGTCAAAGGTGTCAACGACGACCTGGAACTGGTCAGCACCAGCATCGCCGCCACAGCCGGGTACGACGTTGCTGTGCACGAGCTCGCCACCTTCCAATACACATTGGTGCTGCCCGAGGGCACCGTGCCGTCCATCACACTCATCATTGACCAGCCGAGCGATGACAGCCTGCGCCTGGATCGGGTTGAGCTGCATTTTGGCGCAAACGTGGCGTGCGAGGGCGTGCCTGTGCTTGAGGATGCTGCGGGTGCGGTTGACCACGTGCTGCAGTTTGACAACTGCGTCAACACGTACGACAACGAGGATGACGACGCTGATCTCATGGTGGTGACCATCGTCACGGTCGTGCAAGATGTTGTGTCCACGCTTGAGGACCGCAACAAGGCGATGCGCTTCCGCCTGCAGACTGTGCACACACACGGGACGCCGGGCAGCACGCGAAAATCATCGTACATGGAGACGCTCAGGTTGCAGCTGCCAAACGCGGCAATGGCGCTTGACACAGTGGTGCGCAACCATGTGCTGCCTGGGGACACGCTGCAGTTCGATGCTACTGTTGAGCAGGATGGTAACTTCCTGGCCCCAATGTTCAACACCAGCCTTGATATTGCCATCCCATCGTCCCTGATTCCCGTGCTTGTGCTGGTCGGCGTGAACGGCGCGCCGCTCACCGACCACCCGTTCACCCTTCGCGACGGCACCAACGGCACTGCCACGTCCGTGCTGTCCATTCCACTCGCCACCATTCTTCCGGATGACACGGCTGCCGTGCGCGTCCTTACTGAGGTTGGCTCCGATGTTGAGCAAGGGCTCGCCATTGCCGCCAACGCCACGCTCACGTTCGACACATCCGAAGGGTCGCCGACCTACCCTGGCCGCGTGTATGCTGTCGCTGATGACTTCAAGACACTCTACGTGGCAGCGCTCGTCCTGACGCAAGACATTGTCCGCCTCAACTTTCCAGGCGAAACTGATGTTACAGAGGTGTCCGTGTACGAGCCCCTCACACTTCGCCACACCGTGCGTGTGCGCGGAAGCTATGCGCTGACCACCACCATCAGCCTTCCCGCTGGCGGTGGTGCTGGTGCTGGTGCTGGTGGCGGGGACGAGGAAGCCATGATCGTGGACACATGCACGACAGTTTCTGTTGGCGACAACGTGCTCATCACCCCTGGTGCGACATCACCAGGCAATGTCGTGCAGCCCACAATTGTGCATGATGCGAACACACACACCATCACGTTGGCGTGGGGCGATGCCGTGAACGAGGCCACGTCGGCCGTGTACACGCAGGATGACGACATTGTGTACGAGTGCAATGCGCGCGTGCGCAACTTGGTGTGGATCGAAGCTGGTGATGTGTTTGCGTTGGGCGGCAACGCAGAATACGCCGTGTTCACGTCCTCGGAGGAGCACATGCTCACCGTGAGCGACCCGGAGCTGGTGTTTGCATCCTTCACTCCGTCATTTGGCGCCACAGAGCAATCGCCGGTGACGCCCGTGCAAGCACAGGAGGCTGTAACGTTTGACTTTGCCGTGAACAACTCCCTCGCCGCGAGCGTCGTTGCTGCCACCGCATTTGATGCGCAGCTGCTGCTGTTCTTGCCGGGAATTTCAAACGCCGTCGTCGCCAGCGCAGACCCGTCAACGCAGCTTGAGTATGACACAGACTTGGAGGCGTACCGGCTGCTCGTTGACCGCGTCGGCGAAGCGGAGATGTGGACCGTCACCCTCGCCGGCACCGCCATCACGCAACTCCCCGTGGGCGTGCCCGTTGAGCACTCCGCACAGCTTTCGTGGCTGAGCACAGCGGACCCCACCCGCGAGCTCGCCCGTCTGCACACGGAGGAGCCACCCACATCGTGGACCATGACAGTGCGCCATCCACAGCTGGACTTGGCCGTGTACTCCACGCGCACTGTTGGTGGGTGGAGGCGTGTTGCTGGCGACGCACAAGCTGGTAGCAACAGCAGCCCTGCCCCCGAGGTCACCGTGGGTGGTGTCATCTGGCTCACCCTGACTGTGGATGTGTATGCTGGTTTGCACACGGACCTCAAAGCGGTGCTGGATGTGCCCGAGGGCTTAGTGCTCGTTGACCACGTTGTGAGCGATGGCCACCCCAACATCGACCTTGGTGCTGGCCCAACCGTTGTTGAGACGGGCAGCGCTGACGGCGAGTATGAGTTTGTGTTTGGCAGCCCGCTGGCAACTGCTGAGGACACTGTCGTGCTGAACGTGTACTTGCGGGTGGCAGATGACAAGAGCGTCAACTTCAACGGCGCCGTGAAGACCCTGCGTGCGCACCTCGACTACACAGAGTTCACGAACCAAGACGACCAGCAGCTGGACGTGGTGGTGGTGTACCCGCTCTTGCAGCTCACGGGCGACACGAGCGTGGCAACCGCAGATGCAGGCGACACGATCGTGCTCACGCAGCTCCTCAGGCACACGGATCAGTCTGAGGCCCCCGCCTACAACATCACCGTGGGCTTGATGGTGCCAGGCGCAGCGCTGCTCACCAACGTGACGGCTGTGCGCTCGATGCAGCACACGGGCACCAACGGCACAGTCTTTGTTGAACACGCCTTTGAGCAGTACGAACCAACGCCCATCATCGACCTTGGCTTGCTCAACGAAACTGATGCGGTGGTGGTGACGTGGACGTTTGTGGTGCAGCAGCGCGTGCAACCGTCAAGCACGCTTGCCTTTGCCGCAGCAGCAACATACAAGCACGGCTCCCTCACCACCAGCCGCCAAGAGACGGCCGTTATGGCTCCACTGGACGTGGTGGTTCCTGGTATTCACCTGCAAGCCCCTGGCGAGGACGATGAGGGTCGGGCGCGCGACTACGGCGTCGGCGATGTCATTCACATGCAGGTTGATATGGACCTGCCTGAGGGCACGCTCCCCGAGCTTGTGGTTGATCTTCACACTACGCCTGGCACGGCAATTGTTGGTGCCAGCCTCTCTTCGCTCACAGGCCACATCTTTGCCTCTGACAACGAGGGGAGCGTGGCTGTGATGCAAGGCGGCCAGGAGAGTGCGCTGCTTGGCGCTGACAGCAACAGAAGGAGACGCCGTGCTTCCGGCAACGATGACGACGATGATGGCGCAATGATGAGCAGTGCTGCCAACGCCACTCAGCGGCTGTTTGATGTGGAAGCTGACGCCAACCAGCGTGTTTCAGCCGTGCGCGTGCGCGTGTTCAACGTCACGAACAACTTCAACAACGTTGAGGACACCCGGGACCGCCTTGTTCTCAACGTGACGGTGGCTGTGCTGGACGACGAAGCCATCTCTCGCAACACAACCGTCAATGTTACGGCAAGTGTGTCTGTGCCATGGAGCGCGGCCAGCGTGGCCGTCAGCCCGACTTACAACATTGGCGAGCCTGCGCTCAACGTTGAGACGTTCTGGGCCTTTGATGACTCGACGGCTGTTCTCGTGTTTGTGCACACGATTGCCCACGCCAACAACTCCGACCTGAACGCAGCCAACCTCCACCTCACCTCAAACGTCACAGGTACGGCGCTGTGGGTGTATGTGTGTGTGTGTGTGTAAGTGTGTAAGTGTGTGCGTGTGTGTGTGTGTGTGTGTGTGTGTGTGTGTGTGTGTGTGTGTGTGTGTGCGAGCGAGTGATTTAGTGCTTGAGATGCATGTGAGTGTGCGAGAGTGTGCGTGTATGTGTATGTGTGTGCGAGCAGGAGAGTATGGGCTTGAGATGAATGTGGGTGTGTGTGTACCGTCTGTTGCGCGTTCTCACGATTACCAACTGTTTGATCACCCCACCGTGTTCACCACACAGGCACACTGATTGTGACCACGAGCAACATGACCAATGGAACCGACTGGGTGAGCAGCCACAGCCTGCGTTTTGTAGTTGCTGTTTGACATGTGCTTTGCGTGTTTCATGCTGCTTGCAAGCACGGCAAATGTCAAATTGATCGGCCTTTTCTTTCTTTGCTTTCGCTCATGTACGCACGTACGCGCGAAATACAGGATCTTCTTGTTCGCGGTGAGAGCATCGTGGCGTATCATGTGGTGGTCGTGGACAGCGCGTCGCCACAGGGTGCATCCGTGTGTGTGCAGCCGACAGTCGAGTACAACAACGCAGGAAGCAGCAGCCCGCGTGCATACGCGCAGACGGAGCACCGAGACTGCTTCAAACTGCCCGAACCAGCAAGAAGCCGGTGGCAACGGTCCATGTTTGTGACGCTCCTTGCCATTGCGTGTGGCGTGCTGTTCCTCGTGCTGCTCTTCCTTGCTGTGAGCGAGCGGCGGCGGCGTCGTCGCGGTGGGAAGAACGTGGGCAAGCTGCCCAAGCCAGCCAAGGTGATGGTGCGACCAACGTCACTGATTCGCCGACAAGGCTCAGCAGCAGCGTCGTCGCCACGCGACGCGCTTGCCCTTGGCAATGATGACGAGGACATGGACTACCTTGTTGTTGGCGATGACATTGATCACACATACGCAGCACCGCGAGGGCCGCTGATTGCGCTGGGTGATGGGCTGTACGCTGAGATTGACCAGGTGCTTGAGGCGCACGCTGGTGACGAAGAGGGTGACTACTACTGCACCATCAACTCGGCGTTTCAGGATGTGTATGAGGACATCAACAGCTTCTATGCCAACGCGCGTGTGCGGCTGCCTGATGGCACGTATGCGCAGATGAATCGCTACTTCTTCAATGACGACGGCAAACTACGGCGCAAGAACCGTGACACGAACGATGAGCACATCTACGAAGGTGTGTTTGTGCTGCATGTGTGTGTGTGTGTTTGTGCTGCGTTTGTGAATGCTGTGTGATGGAGAAGTGCTATGTGCGACTTGAGTGTGTGTGTGTGTGTGCACACACGTTAGTCTGGGTGGTATTTGTGCTTTGTGTATATGTGTTGTTTGTGAGTATGAGTGAGTGTGTGTTTGCCCTGATGCTGCCTTTCTTGAACTTCTAAAACCCGCCACCTTTACACCAATCTCACACTGCTTCTCGGCCCGTTTTCTCTTTCCAATGTCGCGTGTGCTTCACGCTGCAATGTCATTGCAGAAATTCCCGAGGACGATCCAATCTACGAAGAGATCAAGGATGTGCTCGCGGGCACACGGCCCCGCCAGCCAATGCCTGTCATCCGCACGAAGGACAACCGGCAGCTTGGTCTTCGCCGCGTGTTCCGGCGCAACAGCGACGGCTCCCTCGTGCCGTGCTTCTACCACGACAGCGGGCTGTATGCCGATGCTGCTGTTGTGCGCACGGAGAATGGCGAGTATGCTGACGCCTCTGACTTCTTCAAGCGAGACGGGCGCGTGTTTGAGCCGCTGTACGAGGAAGCGCACATTCTGCACGACACTGGCGAGTATGCCGGGGCCAGGGAGGCCATGTACGACGTTGCCAACCCGTCCCATGACGAATATCTGGATGCCGATGCGATTTACGACATTGGCGAGGCGCAGGGGGACGAGCGCATGTACGACATGGGAGCAGACGTGCAGACCGACGATCCAATCTACACCATGGGCAACGACAACGAGGAAGGTCTGGATGCCATTTATGACATGGGGCAGGAGACAGGCACAGATGCGCAGTACGCGCTTGGCAACACCGACAATGCGGATGCTGATGGTGACGCCACGTACGATGTGGGCAACGCTGATGCCGTGTATGGCGCTAGCGCAGATGACGACGACACGCTTGAACCCGTTTACGATGCCGGGCAGGAAGGACTGAACAGCGCAGATCCCCTGTACGATGTCGCCAACCGCCCTGGAACTGCAGGCGGCGGCGGCGGCGGCGCAGATGGCGGTGGTACCAGGGTTCGCAAGCGTGACAGTGAGCCAACCTATGACACCGCCACATTCCGCCGGCGTGCGTCTGATCAGCCGCCGCCGCTGAGCGGGCAGCGTCTGGGCAGTGCCGCAGACACATACGATCTTGGGGATGGAATGGCGCTTGGGGGTGGTGGAGATGGCGACGCAACGTATGACATTGGCAACGAGGAAGGGGACGCGCTTGTTGGCGGCAACAGCCATGGTGCTGGTACGACTACCGATGGTGATGATGATGCGGTGTACACGCTCGGAGACGAGATGGACGGGTTCATCGATGACCACCCACTGTCCAGCGTCGTCAGCAGCGGTCAATCCTCGCACCGCCACCACTATGGCGGGCGGTCGTCAGCGGGGCCCATGATTGTTGCACCAGAGCCATCCATCCGCAACAGAGGCGACGGTGATGATGGCAATCTCTCTGTGGCAGCGTCGAGTGACGTGTACTCCATTGCCAAGTCCGACGCAAGCCGCACCGGTGGTACCATGGGCCATCAACACCGCCACCACCAGCACCACCACCGCCACCAGTTCCACCGCCACCAGCAGCAGCAGCAGCAGCACGAGGCGACGTATGCACCATACCCGCTGCAGGATGGCGCTGATGACATTTACGACGTGAGTCCCCTCAACAACGCCGTTGCGCCGGAGGACGTGGACGAGGAAGGTGATTACGACGCGCAAACGACGAGGAAGGGCAGCAGCAACATGAGCAACGCTGGCAGCGACGGCGCTGACGATTTGTATGCGATGGCCAACAAGTTTGGATACAGCGGCGGCGGTCGTGACAGCATTGATGAGCTGCCGCTGCCGCCACCACCGCCACTGCCACTGCCCATGATGGGAGCAAACACCGCAGGCAACAGCAACACCAGGACACGGCCGGCGAACACGTCGCCGCAACAGGAGAAGCGCGCACAGCAGCGGTACAAGCCCGTGTACGAGGCGCTGAACGAAGCAGAGGACGATGAGAGCGACGCTGACGATGGCTACCAGCGCGCAGACAGCACAGACGAGGACGAGGACGAGGACAGCGTGTATGGCCACGGCCGCTCCGGTAGTGAGCGAGGTGACTCGTTTGACGCAGATGCGCTGGAGACGCGTGCTGGCCCCAACAACACGTTGGTTGTGAAACGCCGCGGGACACGCGACGTGGAGGACATTTATTCCGTGATTCAAAAGGCGACGACACCGCCCCCACCGGACCTGCCGTCCCGCTCGCACTCGTGCGCGTCATCGGTGGTGTCGATCCAGTCGCTTGAAGCATCGCCAAAGGGACAGCGCAGCGTGCGGCCGCCCCCACGCCTCCGAGCCCCGAGCGGACAAGTGAAGCAGAAGAGCACCATCTCCATGGAGTGGGATCCACACATGCAGTAGGCAGTAGCAGCATCCGCTGTTGTGTCTGTGTGTGTGTCTCTGTGTGTGCGTGTGTGTGTGAAAGCAGCTTGCGCGGAACACGAGGGCGGGTTGTGTGATGTTGTGTGATGTTGCGTGTGTTGTCGGGTTTTGTGACAGTGCAGCTGAGCTGTACAGAAGACATGTGTGTGTTGTGTTGTGTCGAGAAGAAGCATGTACAAATTTGATTCATTGATTGAACAAGGTCCATCCATAGCGACAGCCAATTAAAAGTGAAGCAACAACAGAACGAACAAGGACTTGTATCACATCATCACGAAACACAGCAGAAATGAACACCAAGCCTGCGAGAGTCGTGTGAACAAGTACATGCGAAACAGACAAGAGCATGGGAACAGAACCAGCACACACAAGCACACACACACACACACAGCCGTGTCATAGGATACATGAAGCAGTCATACATGAACACATGAATACGTTAAAATGAGCAAAACACGGACAAGGCACAACGACAAAAGCAACACATCAGCATGCTCTGTGCCCGGAAACGAACAAAAGAACACCGGAGCAGCTGTTGAAGACAAAGCACAAACCACAAACGACTAACCACCGGCGAGAAGTTGCACGCAATGGACAACATGTGCACACACACGCGCGCGCGGAAAGGCGCACTCGCACAACTGCGTCTCGCAGAACCACAACGACAGCGCAGAGAAAGCAAACCGCTCATGACGACTGTCACAGGGCGCGGCCTTGAACAATAGCTCGCCAGTGCACGTGTCACACCAGCGGGTCTGCATGGCTCAATCCTTTGTGTCTACACACCATTGTATCGAGTTATTCTGCGACACAACAGCGTCTGTACACCATCACGATGTCTACATGTCCTCGTGTCCGTGTGTGCGGAGTTGACCGAGTGGGTTGTTGAACTTGGCGCGGTCTGCGGGTTCGGGATCAGATGTCAGTGGCGCCGTCTTTTGTGCACGCGCCCTGGTGGTGGTGGTGGTGGTGGTGGTGAGGAGGAGGAGGAGCGAAGGGGGTACGTGGAGTAGGTGAGCAGACGATGAGAGGGAAGGGACGAGAGGAAATGGTGGGTTGTAGAAATTGCAGAGATTCAGTGGATGGTGCAAACACACACACACACACACACACACACACACACACACACACACACACACACACACGAGCACACATGCACTATCATACGTGCGCGTATACACAGACACACACACACTCTCTCTCTCTTCAAACCAGCAAACGAGGAGCAAAACACTGACAAGGAAAGCAAGCGTACTCTGCGGTGATAATGTCCGTAAGGAGGGTGCTGGCATGCTCCAGCCTTGCCACGACGGAAGTGGTTTGCAGCAGCTGCTGGCACGTCGCTTTGCTCTCCTCAGTGCTCGGCAGCGCAGCCTTGATCTGCAGTGCAACCCAGAACGAGAAGGGCGCCACGCCTTTCGTCGCCACGGCTGCATGCCGCATCTGAAACCGGTTGAATCTGGGGACATGTGTGTAGATTGGGTTGTGAGTGAGTGTGTGTGTGCATGTGTGTGTGCATGTGTGTGTGTGTGTGTGCGTGTGTGTGTGTTGTGAGAGGGAGAGAGAGAGAGAGAGAGAGTGTGTGTGTGTGTGTGTGTGTGAGTGTGTGAGTTGAAAGCGACCCATGTAAGTAGTTTGTGTGTGTGTGTGCTTGTGTTCCATGTGTGAGTTGATAGTTGACAACATAAGTACGGTTTCCCGGCACTTACAGGCGCGGATTGTTCACGAGGGCGAGCTTCGCGTACTCGTTCAACAACGCCTGAGAGATAAGATGGAGCACAAGCAATGGAGGAGGTGGTGAGGGGCACAAAGGGTGGCACAAAGAGAGGGAGAGGCGTATGAATGGCAGTACGAGAGTACAAGGAACCCCACACGCGCGGCAGTTGTGTTTAATCACAGAACAGGCGGCCATAAGCCTTAGCCACCAGCACGACAGCAATAACGCGCTTCAGGCACGCTTAGAGTTTGTACCGAGACTGTGCGCGAGAGCACGTCGGCCTGCTTCAGGTCCTCCTTTGTCACGGGCTCATCTGAAGACAACACGAGCGAGTGAGCAGCAAGACACAGACGAAGCACAAACACAAGCACAAACACAGACACAAACACAAACACGCACACAGGGAGTGGAGGTACCTGTGAGGCGCTGGACGGTGCCTTGCCAGTATCCAACAAATGCACGTGATGCGTCTGTGACTGAGAACCGCTCCGTGAATCTGAACGGTGGGAGGAAGGCATGTTGCAGTGGCCGATGGCAACACACACGCGTGAGTGATAGATACCAAAACAGCACACCCCACAGTCACATGCAAACACATGCAAACACATGAAAACACGTGCAAAGTACGTACAACACAAACACACACATGTAAGCACAGACAAACACAAATGCAAACACAAATGCAAACACAAATGCAAACACACACACTCACACACACTCACACACACTCACACACACACGTGTGTGGCTGACCTCAGTTTGACGAGTTCGGATGTGTCCTCGACGTCGATATCGAGGGGTGCGGTGTTGTCGCGCTCGTGGGCAACCACTTCAGCGAGCGTGCCGACGGTGGCGGAGTACCAGTCCGTGCTGAGCGGCATGTGCTCGCTGTCCTCTTCCTCGTGCTGTACCGCCGACGGCTGTCTCACAAACCCAATCACGGGTCTCTCCTGATCAAGGCTCTGCATCATCAGCTGCGTTTGCACACGAGCGAGCGACAGCACGGTGCGAGTGTGACATGAGTTAATTGCTTTCGCGTAGCAGCATGTGTTAGATCAGGCGCACAAGAACAGCCTCTTCAAAAGCGCCTAACCCTCAACCAAGTGTGTACGGATGCCAACGACGATGGGTTCCTCACCTTGTATTTTGGTTCAACCACGTGGATGGTGGCAACTTCACCGGGGAAGTAGACGTCTGACGTGGGGAACAACGGCACCATCTATATCGGCGAGCGTGCGCGTGTGTTCGTATGTGTGTGTGTGTGGATGTGTGTGTGTGTGTGTGGATGTGCGTGTGTGTGTGTGTGTGGCATGGGTTGTGTAAGCGTTGAGGTCGAAGAAGCACTTTGGAAGCCACAAGCAGAGACATGGTAATTCAACCCAAAAAAGCGTTTGTGGGTGCGTGTGTCGTGCGGATGCGCGCTGCCTCACCCGAGTTGGCTTCATAATGTCTGTTGAGCGGAACGAGAGGTCCCCCGTAGAAGCGCTTGTCGCGCTGCTGCTGCACAGCCTGCCCAACACCAGGGCCCGCAGTCCAACGCCTCTTCTTGTTGCACCACTCCTTGCCATTTGCATGGCTGCTCGACTTGCCGCTGGCAACGCCATCACGCTCCCGTGTTGTACTGTGGAAGTGCTCTGGTTGTGTTGTTGTTGTTGCTGTGCGTGCGTGTATGTGTGAGTGCGCGTGTGAGCCTCAGTCGCTTCCTGCGCGTTTGCTCGACGTATGCTTCGAGTGTCTGCTTCTGCTGTGTCCGTATCCGTTGTCTCTGCAGGTCCTCCTCGTCTCTTCGTCTGTGTTCGTCTGCGTGCAGGTTCGGTTGTGCGGAATGTGTCGTGGTTTGCTTTGCTTTGGTTTGCTTCTTGGTTTGCTTTGCTTGCTTGTCAGCGTTTGTTGCGATTCCGGATAATTGGATGACATCTTGCCATGATTTTCGACGCAGCCGAAACCCTCAAGCAAGCGCACCCTCGCCATTCACCCCAGGCGTACAGGCACAGACCGCACCCAGACACCCAGCACCTTCCTCCGCAATACAGTCACACACACACACACACACACACACACACACACACACACACACACACACACACACACACACACACACACACACACACACAAACACATACACACGTACATGGAGGAGCGATTGAAGGAGCTGTTTGTGTGCTGTGCACAGCAAGATGGAAGAATCAGAAGAAGGGGAGGCGATAGTGGCAATGAGGATGGCGCTCCGGTGCTGGTGGCCATCGACAACATTTTGCACTACGTGCACCAGCAAGGGCTGGTGAAGCAAGCAGACCTGCCGCACTTTCGCAGCGTCCTGCAGCAGGCAGACCACGATGAGGATGGCGCAATCTCTCTGGACGAGTTCCAGCACGCCATCTACACAGCCCTCAGTGCCGCGTCTGGGTCCATGAGTGCCTCCGTTGCCAGCAACGACAACAGCACCGATGCAGTGCCACAACACGGAGACAACGCCACCGCTTCGACAGTCGAGACAGATGTCCCAAATAATCATAATGCCCAAACAACAGCAACAAAGGCCGCCTCCAACGATACAGCAACACCATCGGCTCTGCAGGCTTCGGTAACCAGGGGCCCACCAGCAACGAGGGTCGCTGCATCATCACAAAGCACCGGCACCCCCACAGCCGCTGTAACAACCACAACAAGCACACTGGCTTCACTGAATGACAGCAGGACGCGGCCATCTAGCCGAGAGGCGTTTGGCTCACCAGCTACCCGACGACAGCCATCTCCAGGTGCGCATGGTTGATGCGACTGTCAGTCTGTGTTGCTGTGCGTGTATATGTGAGCGTGTATGTGTGTGTGTGCAGAGTTCAATCACAGAGACACAGACACAAAACATCCACACACTAGAACACCCACCTCACACGCTCGCAGTCACACTCACACTCACACGTTCACACCCTCGCACACACTGACACTGACACTCACACTGACACTGACACTCACACTCACACTCACTCACACCCTCCCACACCTCGCACTCACACCCTCGCACTCACTCACACACTCCTACACACACACACACACAACATAACACACACACACACACACACTCACACTCTCGCACACACTCCTACACGCACGCACACCCTCGCACTCACACTCACAGAGCGGTTGAGCGCCAAAGTCATCTTTGATTTGTTGGATCCGGAAGGCAGAGGATATGTCAGCGTTGAGGAGCTGCAGACGCGCTGGGAGGAGTTGAGCGAAGACATCCCGTTGCCACCAATCCCAGAGAGCTTGGTGGAAGACGGGCAGCACGAGGATGTCACGGCCGAGGACCTGCTGGAAGCGTTCCAGAGCATGCACGCTGACTCCGATGGCGATGAGGAGGCTGACGACATCAGTGATAGCCGAGGCGATGTCAGTGAGATGATGACAGACGCGGGTGCTGCCATGGCCACGGCAGCGATGACCATGACCCTGGTCAATGGGGTCTCGGCGCCATCCCCGCTCTCCCGCCGTCAGGACGGACCTCCCGTCACATCCACCCCAGCCCACCATCTCACACGACCACACCTTCCACCCCACATGGCCCAAGCACAGCAGCAAGAACACAACCAACACCACCAACACCCCCACCATCTCCACGGCACAGCCAGTCCAGTTGGTCGCGTGTCTGCGCTTTTCTCGGGTGACGTGTCATTGCATCGTTCACTGCCATCAACACCCCACAGCGCCATGGCATCGCCGGCCACGGTGCGGCGCAAGACGCCCTCGCGCCAGCGCGCAGCGGTGCTGGTGGACACGGGGGTGCGCCTGCTCCGCAGCCAGGTTGAGGTGTTGAAACAGCAGCTTGTGGACAAGGATGAGGAGGTGCGACACCTGCAGCGGGAGGTCGACGCCGCTAAAGAGGCGCTGCACCACGCGTCCGACCTTGCCGACGTGCATATTGGTGAGACGGAGAATCAGCTCAACGCGACCGTGTCGCTAATGGAGGCCAAGCACCAGCGGCAGATTGAAGACCTCAAGGCACGCCACGCAGACGCAACGAGCGCGCTTCGGCTGCAGGTGGACAGGCTGAACGAGCAGAACGCAAAGCTCGCCGGGGAGCGGGAGGAGCACGTGCGCCAGATCAAGGAGCTGCACGTCGACAGGGCGAAGCTGCTGACAGATAATCAGCTGTTGCGGGAATCCATGCACGAGCAGCACAAGGCGAGCGCCGCAGCGGCCAGTGACCTCAACAAGCAGACGCAGCTTGTTAGTCAGCTGGTGGAGCTGCAAGACGCACATGCGCTCAAAGCGCAGCGCATCAACGAGCTCGAACTGGAAGCCGCGCAGCAGCAGGACGAAATTGCTTCCCTCAAGGTGACGCAGGCAGGGAGACACGTTGTTGTGTTGGTGTGGATGTGTGGATGTGTGCGTGTGCGTGTGCGTGTGCGTGTGCGTGTGCGTGTGCGTGTGCGTGTGTTGCGGGATTTGTTGGTTTCCCACATATCCTGACTCCAACCTCGTGTGCACATGCCCTCATTCCCTGTTTCTTTCTCTCATTCATGTCAATCACCACCATTCAACCACCATCAATACGATAGAGCGTGCTTGGGGAGGTGCGCGGACAGCTTGCAAAGTCTGTGCTGGCGCAGCACGAGCAACGGTGGGAGACGACGGAGACGCTCGCGGCGGAGTTGAGCCGCATGGACAATGAGGCTGAAGAGCAACTGCGCAACAAAGCGGAGGAGATGCAGCAGGCTGCACAGGCATCGGAGAAGCGCGTCTCTGTGCTCCTCAAGGAACTCGCGAGCGTGCGGGAAACCAAGACGGCGCTCGAGGTGAGCGCTACAGAAGGAAGGGGGTGAGAGCATCCAAAGGAGGTGGTGAAGGAGAAACAGGAGGAGGAGGAGGAGGCCACTGGCAACGACATGGTGGGTGCATTGTCCATGCGTATCTCCATGTGCTTGTTCTCCACCATTCCCATTCAAACGCGTGTGCACATGCGTGGTTCCTGCAGGAGCGTGCTGGGCGGATGCTGGCGCAACTGCGCAACCTGGTTGGCCAGCAGCGGTCGTACATCGACGAGCTGGAGACGGAGGTGGCGTCGAAGAAGCTGCGCATGGAGGTGCTGGCTCTCGAGCTCTCGCTGTCCAAGATTGGCGGCGGCAGCGGCAGCAGCGGCAACGGTATTAACAGCAATCAGAGGAGTGGTGATGGGGAGCAAGGGGACACATCCGGCAGAAGCGTTGGGATCGAAGCAAGTGCCCCAGCACATGGAGGCGACAGTGATGTTGTGGGTGATGGTGGCAGAGGAGTGCCTGACGCTGACGCTGGGGCGTATGAGGACTTGGAGAAGCTGTTGCAAATGGCGAGCGAGGTGGAGGGCGGCATTGCGGGAGAGGGGCGGACTGGCGATGACGGTGATGGCGACGATGAAGTGGTGGCGGCCATGTACGAGGCATTGGCAAGTCCACAGGCTGCGGCTGTCCGTGTGGACGCCAAGCACCTGGAAAAGTGGCTTAGGCGGCGACGCGAAAGCAGGCGCAGGGATAGGAGGCGCAGCTCAAGGAAGAGTGCAAGGACATCGGCGGCAGAGCTCGTGCCTGCAGGCAAGGTGGGCCGCGACGACAGCGCGGGCGTGTCATCATCACACACACCGCGTCGACGAGCAACCTGGGCAAGGGAAGGCGGCGGCAGCCAACACAGATTGGGCAGCCGAGATCCAGCAGTGACAACAGTTGCAGACAACGTACAAAGCAGTAGAACAGCGCGAGCAAGCGCAACAGCAGCGACATCATCAGCGTTTGCATTCGCGGGGCGCAAGATGTCTGCACCATCAGCAGTCGGTCGCCCTTTCGCTGGCTTGCACGAGTGGCTGCAGGTCAACACAGACACACACACGCGCCGTCGATCATCGATTCAGGCCCTCAAGCAAGCGTTGCAGGGGGCATCGTGACACAGTGCGAGGCAAAACTATTCATCGAGGTGGAGGGGCGAGGGGGAAGTGTGTGCGTGCGTAAGTGAGTGAGTGTGTGTGTGAGAGAGTGTGTGAATGAGTGAATAAGTGAGTGAGAGTGAGTGTGTGCATTGTGTGCGTGTGTGTATTGATTGAGGAAAGACGCAGAGGGTGCGCGCATGTGTATTGTATGAAGTCGATTGTGCATTTTAATGTGCATGGACATGAATGGTTGTGGAATACACACAAGAAGCAAGAAAAAAACAGCCAGAAGCAAGGATGTCATCTCATGTCATGTCACAAAGACACGATGAAAGACGCGTCAGCGACTGCCTTGAAGACGAGCAAGCGAGGGCACACAACTCCCACAACGACACACGTGACACACTTGTGCAGTGTCGTTGCATGGTTCAATGGAGGTGCGCCAAATACCACACGATTAGTACAGACGTTCAAGAGCAACAGCACACGAAAGCACGCGCCAACTGTTGCAGAGGATAATACGCAAGCGTGAGATGTGCACAGAACAAGTGCACTACGGAAATGAACAACGTAAATGCTTGCAAGAACGCATGCCAGAACAAATCCACAGGCACACACACAGATGCACACACACACACACACACACACAGATGCACACACACACACAAATCCACACACACACACACACAACTACCACTGGCCAACGCTGGCAAGAGGATCAACGGCCACAAAGTCCTCCTCCGTCAACACCGTCTTCTTCCCATCCGCATCACCAGCATTTTTCTTCTTGCCCTTCTTGCCCTTCTGCCCTTGCTTGTCCTTCCTGCCCTTCTTGTTCTTCTTCAGCAGCGCCTTGCCAGGCCTCACTGCAAGAATGCCAGACTTGACAGGGTTGTTCACCTGTACACACACACACACACACACACACACACACACACACACACACACATGTGCAAGCAGTTGCAAATGGGGGTGAAGTGAGTGGGAATGTTTGAAACAAAGGCGGCAGACAGAGAGGCCTGGGGTATTGCAGACAGGGACAAGAAGACGACAGTTGCAGCACCAAGATGCAGGCAGCGTGCCATTCTTAAACATACATTGAGTTCGATTGCCTTCTTGTCCAGCTCCTTTGATGCAGATTCACTTCTCTCCGTATCTGCAGCAGTTGCAGCGTCATCAGCAGCAGCACGCTTGTCGTCCTTCTCCTGGTCGCCTGCTTCGCCTCTCAGTGTCGCCCCGTCACTGCTGTGTTGCGCAGCACTGCTCTGCGTCTTCTTGTTGGCCGCTTTCTTGTCATCCGCCTTCATCTCTCCCTTTGTCCCAACTTCCCTTTGCTCTTCTCCTCTCCTTTTCTGCTGCTGTTGCACCTGTTTGCCTAGCTTTGCCCGCTTGGCCATGTGTCCATCACCACCATCCTTATCTTCATTGTCACGGCTGTCACCTCCTTTTCTCCTCGAGTCCTTGCCGCGCTGCTTGTGCTGTTGCTTCTCCTGATGATGCCTTCCACCAGCACCGCTGCTGTCGGTGCTGCTGTCTGCTGCCTTGTGCCGCTTCGCGTGCTGCTGCTTCTGTTCCTCCGCAGTGTCATCTCCACCAGCGCCACGTTGCCCGCCGCGCTGTTTCCTCGCACCACTCGCTTTTCCCTCTGTACCCTTCCGACCAACTGCATTCCTCACACCGTCACCACCATCACCATCACCATCGCCGCTGCCGTGCTGCTGGTGCTGCTTAATCTTCATTTTCTCTGCAAACCGCTTTCCGCGCGTCTTCTTCGGCACAAGTGGCTTCCCATCCAGCACTTGCAGCGACGGCACAAGCGCTCGGATCTATCATGTGTGGCGTGTCAGCGTTGGTGAGTGAGTGGGCGAGTGAGTGAGAACGTGAGACCGTGAGACCGTGAGAGAGAGAGAGAGAGAGAGTGAGTGAGAGAGACCGTGAGTGAGTATGCGTGTGTGTGTCAGTGAGTGAGGGTGTGTTTGAGGGTGTGTTTGTGAGTGAGGGAGTGAGTGCGTGGGTGAAACGTTGAAGTAGAGGCTGGCACGTGCCCCACCTTTGTTGCGTAATCGTCCAGCTCGCAGATGGGGTTGCCACGCAGATTGAGGTTCGTGAGGAACTTGAGGTGGCCCAACACAGCAATGTCACTGCACACACACACACACATGTGGATGAGCGCCACGGTGAAATTGAACATGGGGGTGAGCTGTGCTGGTGTAAATGCGGTAATGTACTGTGGCTTCCATGACATGTGTGTTTGCATGTGCGCGTGTGCGTGTTCACATGTGTCCGCATGTGTGTGTGTGTGTGATCGAACGCACTCAAAGGAGCGAATGAGGTTCTTGCCGACATCGAGGAGACAGAGGCTGAAAGTGGTGGTGATGGTGATGCAGGGTGTAAGGGGTAAGCGAAGCAGCCACGAGCGCGTACGCAAACAGATGGCAACCGAACAGTGCCGATACAAACGCCCTTCACACACACACACACACACACACACACACACACGCACGCACACATACTTCATATGCACACGTGAAGCCACAAAGCAACACCCAGGATCACTCACTGCAAGTTGAACATGAGCGCCTCTGGGAGGGCCGTGATTTTGTTGTTGTTGAGTCGCAGCTCCTTCAAACTCGTGCACGCCTGCACATTTGTCCACAACCCAAGACGTGGTGTGGTGTCGGTGTTGGTGGTGGTGATGAGACGATGGGCAGCAAACGGTGACGGAGAAAGTTGGCAGTGATTTGCTGAGCGGTTCTCAATGCGCAACCGACAAAACCACAAACACAGACAGACAGACAGACAGACAGACACACACACACACACACACACACACACAAACAAACACACACACACACAAACAGACACACAAACACAACACATAACCAAAGAAACAAATGTCGGCACACCTTCAGGTTGGGCACTTGACGCAGCATGTTGTGCGAGAGTGCAAGTTTGCGCAGCTCCTTGAGCGAATTGAACGTCTTGGCATCAATCTCCTCAATCAGGTTATGCGAGGCGACTACGATCGCGCGCGCGCGCGTGTGTGTGTGTGCGTGTGTGTGTGTGTAATGGGCGCATTGTCGCGCGTTGGTGAGACGCAAACTTGAGTGCGAGACGCACAGCAGCAATTCCCGCACGAGAAAGTGTGCGCTAACACAAGAGCATCACAGCACAATCTTCTCCCTTCTCTCTCGTTGCATACCGAGAGCGTCGAGATTAGCAAGGAGTCTGACACCATCGATGCTCTTGATCTGATTGTTGTTCACGACAAGCGCCTTCAAGCCTGCCACAAGCACAGTACACGCATGTGTGTGGTTGTGTTTGCGTGTAAGTGCGTTTGTGTGGGAGTGTATGCGTGTGTGTGAGTGAGTTGACATGGCATTACTCTGGCGTGCACGTGAAAGCTGACATGCTCCCACTCACACAGCTGGTGTGCGTGTGTGTGCGTGTGTGATCACATGTGCAAATGGAGCCGCACAAGGCACTGACTTCGAACGTCTGCGACGTGCTGGATGCTGGCGAGGTTGTTGTGGCTGGCCTTGAGTGCTGCAGCAAGCACATGTCATTCAGACACAACGTGAGCAGGGAGCACCCCAAGTTTGAACCGTGAGTGAGTGAGTGAGTGAGTGAGTGAGTGAGTGAGTGAGTGAGTGAGTGAGTGAGTGAGTGAGTGAGTGAGTGAGTGAGTGAGTGAGTGAGTGAGTGAGTGAGTGAGTGAGTGAGTGAGTGAGTGTAACTGTGAGTGAGTGCGTATTGGGTGGGGGTGAATGAAAGTAAGCATGCGTAGATGCCATGATACGCACTGATGAGGTTTGTCAGCTTTGTGAGGCCCTTGATAGCGCGGAGCGAGTTGTGTGAGACGTCCAACAGCGACAGCTGTTTCAAATCACCTGAAGGACAACACGGCAGCGCCACAACCGTGAACGTTTGTGCAAACAAAGTGCATGCGGTGCCAAGCGTGTGCGCCCGAACGTGGAATCATGGAATGTCATGTGCTTGTGCTGTGCTTGTGCATACCGAGCGGTGTGGTCTTTGTGAGGTTGTTGCGAGAGAGGTTGAAGCGTCGCAGCTCCACGCATGGACTAAGAATCACAAGACATGACATCACGTTGTATGTCGTGAGTTTAACAAAGGCGCAAGAAGAGAGATAGATATGCGCCTGTGAGCACGAACACACGCAGATACACACACACACACAGACGTACAGACATACAGCTACACAAGTACAGACACACAGACACACAGAGATACACAAGTGCACAGATACACAAATGGAGTTGCACATACACACACACGCACATGCACATGCAGTTACACACACACACACTGCACCTGATGTCATCTTCAAGGGCGGTGATGCCTTTGTTGGAGGCGTTGATGGAGGTGACTGTGCGCAAGTCTTGGTTGCACAAGTCCGACAGCAAGGCCAGTGTCAGCTTCATCGTGAATCACCCCCTTTTATGCGTCTGTTTTGAAAAGCAAAACAAAACAAAACAAAGCATAAGATGAGAAAGAGCCATGGCTGATACGGTGAGAGGGGTAAACGTTGCAAGTAAAGAAAAAGAGACGCATTGTTGTTGTTGTTGCTGTTGTTGTTGTTGTTGTTGCTGCTGCTGCTGTTGCTGTTGCTGTTCCATGCTGCTGTGTGTTCCCATCTCACACCACTCACACCCACACACACACACACACACGCACACACATGCACGCCAACCTTTGTCTTCTCTCTGCTTTGTTTTGTGTCCGGTGCACGTGTGTGTGTGAGTGTGTGAATTGTGTGGCAGGCTGACAGTGGTGAAAATTTATGGTATCTTTCACCAATCGTCACGAATGGCGCAACCGAACGAAGGACTCGTCGTTGCTTTCTTCGTTGCTCGTGCACACACACCGATTTCACACACACACAACAACAACAACAACACGACCAATCAACCAACCATCGACACCCTTGTCCTCGTGAGCCCACACCCCAACCTCACGACCTCACGAGCAGCCTGTGGGTGACGCGACTGTGTTCCCATGCCGTTGTGGCCGCTGCCACCCTTTGACATTCCTGCACCAGCTACTAGGACCAGGGTAGATAGTCAGGCAGTTGCAACCATCCAACATCCACCAACATCCACCAACAGCAAAACAACGATCGACAACGACAGCCACTGCCAAGCTGTTTTTCTGAGCTGTGTATCCGTCTCACTTCCCGTTCCCAGCCCAATCTCTCGATCGGCCACTGTGCCTCTCTGCCTCGGGCTGCACTACACTGCTTCTTGAGCAAGCCAAAGCACCGCCCACTGACCAACACACACACCCAACTGCTTTTCAGTGGCGGTCCGGTTTTCTTGCACACTCCTCTCTTTCCGCAACCAATCCACCAACCAAAACAACAGCAACCCAACTGCTGTTGCTGCCTCACCCAATTCGCAGCACAGCACAGTACAACAGCTTGCCAGCGACAATAACGGTGCGTGAAACGCACATCCCGCGCATGCACGGCCTAGTTTGAGTTGCGTTATTCTTGGTCATGTGAATGAGTGCCCTTCAGCACCTTCACACAACTCCACACACACACACACACAACATACAACACAACTCCACACACAACCAATGTGCCTCGCCCATATGCGTCGTGTGCAAATCGCAGTTTGCTGACACGTGTTGCTCACACACACACACACACGCACACACACATGAACACACACGCACACATACGTGCACGCGCCTTTGCATTGGTTGGTTGCTCACAGCCAAAGGGGGTTTGTTGCTGTCAAAGCAGACAAGTCTGGTTGTCGTCAGGTGGGCCGTGACCAAACCGTCCACAACTCACCGCCGCCGTTCCACCCGAGCTCAACGGTTCGTGCCCTCCCCCCCCCCTCTCTTCCCACTCGTTGCCCCCCCCCCCCTGTCGCCGTGTCTCTTCGCTTCGTTTCTGCGCGTGTGAATCGCATGCCATACCATCACCAAAGCACACCGACAATGCACACGGGTAGCTGTTCGTGCGCCATTCATGCTCGCTCGCTCGCTCGCACGCACGCACACATTCACGCACGCACCTACAAACCAAAACAAACGAGAAGCACACAAACACACACTCGCTCGCAACCACATCAAACCAATCAACCTAGCGTACGCTCTCGCTCACTTGTTGTGCTTTCTTGTTCGCCTTCATTGCCATCATCATCATCATCATCATCATCATCATTGTTGTGGTTGCTATTGTGTGGCTGCTTCCCACCCTCTGATCGATCACCATCGACTTTCCCTCGCCACCGTCAACCTCGGGCCCGCATTCACCCTTGCTCTTCTCCGCGCGTGTGTTGCTCGATTTGGCACACGTTGCTGCTGCCGCTGCTTCTGCTGCTGCTGCTGCTGTTGCTGCTCGTGCCATCCCGTGTTGCGCATCATCCCTTTCTCTCCTCTCGATTTCCTCCTCGCACGAACCGTCATTACCACCAACTCCATCTCCCGCTCCAACACTTGCCACGAACACCCTCTCCACACCCACGCACGAACCTAAACCTTCTCCCTTGACCGTGGCTCGCCTCCCTCTGCACTTCAATACCGTGCTCCTTTCTCGTCCGTCGGCTTTCCGTCTCGGGCGCGCCATTTCTTCACAACATCTCACCTCGCCATCGTCACTTACCATTGCGCACCTCTTCATCAAACACCATCAACGCGCACCCTACCCTGATCAACTGGCAACCGCCAACTCCCATCGGCGTCTTCTTCACTTCATCCCTGCCTGCCATACATCTCCTTCTGCGCCTCGCCGCGGACGTCTTGTCGTCCTGTGTGCGTGTGTACGCGCGTGTTACGTGTACACGTCTTCATCCCCTTTCCTCTTCACACACACACACACACACGCACACACACACCCAACGCGTGCGCGTGTGTGTTCGTGTGAACACCGACGATGGCGGATCTCCACCTCGAACCCGTTGTTGATGGCGGCTATCAGGAGGTCGAGCCGGCCACCATGGACCGCGACGATGCCGTGAAGCAGCAGCTCCTGCAGCTGGAGGCAGACTACCATGCTGGTGAGTTTACATTTGCCACTTTGTGTGCATGTGTATGTGCGTGTTGTGCGTTGTGTGTTGTGCGTTGTGTGTGTGTGTGTGTGTGTGTTGTGTGTTGTGCATGTGTGACTTCTTGCGCTTACACCGCTGTTGCGTTACATGCCGCCCATCCCGCTGTGTCACCTTTCCCCATCAACACTTCTCACCTTCACCCCTCACGCCTCCCCCACGCCAACCAACCAACCAACCAACCAACCAACCAACCAACCAACCAACCAACCAACCAACCAACCAACCAACCAACCAACCAACCAACCGAGCAGGCCGTATCACGAAGAAAGGCTACCAAGAGTACTACCACGAGATTATGCTGCAGCGCAACGGGCCAACAGCGTCCGTGCTGCCCGGCTCACCGGGATCGCCGGCGTCACACCGTCGCTCCTCCTCGTCACCGAGCGAAACGAGCTCCCATTCCCCCGTGAGCCGCGGGTCGTCGACGCCGAGATCGGGCGACCACCACCGCGTGGAGTCGCCCTCAAAGTATGGCCTCCTCGCACAGCTGCAGCAGCAGAAGCAGCACATGCAGCAGCGAAACGGCCACCAGCACCAGCAAGAACAGCAGCAACATCAAGAACAACAGCATGGGCATGTCGTGCGCCACCACACGATGACATCTGAGCTTGATAGCGACGGCGAAGGGAGTATGGACAGCTTCGACACTGCTGTAGGCAACAACGCCGCCGTGCTTGAACTCCCGCGCACAGACGGGTTTGACGTGACCGTTGTCGCCGAGGAAACAACCGAGCACGTGTGGGACGAGCGCAGCAGTGCCAGCCGCCGCGCTGTCTCACCACGCACCGGCGCCGAGGGCAAGTCGCAGCGGAGGCCCGTTGCAGAGGTTACCACCACCACCGCCACCACCGCCCACGGTAGCAGCCAGCAACACCACCACCACCATACCGCTGCTGCTGTTGATGATGACGACGACGATGATGACGGCCTGGACTACGATGAGTGCGAGAATGAAGGCGTGGAGCACTCACAGCGCGTGGATGTGTACGCGGCGTTCAGCAGCGTGCGTCCACCCACGTCCCCTCGCCGCCACACGGAATACGAGGAGGTCATGGTGGCACCCGGCGCTGGTCAACACCCCCACCACCACCAACAACAGCAGCATCAGCAGCATCAGCAGCATCAGCAGCAGGATGCGACGCTGTATTCGCAGCCCGGGGACGAAGATGATGCCATCCACGAGCAGTGGCAGCAGGTGGCACCCGTCGACTACAGCGACCACTTTGACTTCCCACTGCCGCCGCCGCCGCCACCACCGCCACTCCCGCGCCACGCAGACCGCTTCCAGGGCCGCGAGTACGAGACCGTGGACAGCCTCCCGCCGGAGATCTTCGGGCCGGACCCCGTCGGCGCACGTGCGCACGAGCAGAGCGAGGCCCGCCGCAGCAAGAAGAACAAGAAGGCGTCCAAGCAGCGCAAGAAGAAGAAGGACGAGCCCGTGTACGTGCCCTCTGCCCAGCAGCCGGGCCGTGAACACCAGAGCCTGTATGAACAGCCGGCAGCCGTGAGCAGCTCCTCGCCTGCACGCCGTGGCCGCAGCGAGCACAGCGCACTCCACGACCCCATGCGCCGGCTCAGCGGGCAGCACAAGACGCTGTCGTACAAGCCCGTGCACGGGCACGTGGAGCGGGTGCAGCGAATGCTGCAGGAGGAAGCGCAGAACAGGGGGCGCATCCCGCGTGAACGGTACGAGACGCTCTCGCGCCAGCCAGAGTCCGAGGCACACCGCTTCCTGACGCAACTGCGCAAGGCAAAGCGGACCGTGCTTCCGTTTAGCGAGCGCGCCCTGCAAGGCATGGAGACCCCCACCCCGGGCAACGTGGGCGTGTCCCCGCACGGCAATCGCCAGCCGTTTGCGTCTGGGTACAGCTTCCCCTTTGACAACTCCACAGACGGCGCGCCACAGAGCACCGATTCGATTGACCTGACGAGCGCAACCACGTTTGCAGAGTCGCTCACGCTGCGGTACAGCTACGTGCCCAACGCCAGCGCCCTGCAGGTGCACACGCGCGGGGGAAAGGCGTGCACGTCGTTCACGTGGAAGATGCTGCGCAAGCAGGCGCGAGCCGTATCGGAGGTGCTGCAGCAGGCCATGGCAGCCCGCCGCGGAGAGGCAAGCCTCATTGCCAACACGGACAGGGCGCACTCTGGCTCGCGACAGCACTACGCAGCGCTCATCTTCGACTCGAGCAATCCCACCAGCATCTCCAACTTTGCCGTTGCCTTCCACGGCGCCACCATGGGCGGCCTCATCCCCGTGCCGCTCGCCTTCCCCATGGCAGACGACCCGGCGAGCATGCACGTGCGCGTGCGCTCGCTCGGCTTCGTCATGAGCTCGTGTGCTGTCAGCATCGTCATCAGCGACACGACCATGCGCAAGGTGCTTGACGAGGCGTGTGGTGGCGCCCTCACCCGCGGCCCGCTGCCCAAGGGCTGGCCCGACGTGCCGTGGATGTTCGTCGACCGCCTCCCCCGCATGAAGAAGACGAGGCAGCGCGGTGTGCACGTCAGCAACAGGGACGACATTGCGTTTGCCATGCCGGACCTGGCCACGTACAACGACATCAAGACTGTGGCAATGACGCACGACAACGTGTTTGCGCAGACGGCCGCGTTCAAGGCCTCACTCAGCCTCTCCAACACGAACCAGGTGTCTGTGGTGGCAGACGTGACGACAGGGCCAGGCATGTGGGTGGCGCTCGCCACGGGTGTCACGTGCGGTTATGAGACAATTGTCATTCCGTCGTACACCATTGACAAGAAGCCAAAGCAGACCTGGGCGCACCTCTCCAAGTCTCCTCGCGCAGGTGCCCACAATGCTGCTTGCTTGCTTGTGTAGTTGTAGTTGTGTGTTTGTGGTTGTGCATTTGTATTTTGTGTGTTTGTGGTTGTGCATTTGTATTTTGTGTGCTTGTGGTTGTGTATTTGTATTTGTATTTGTATTTGTGTTGTATTGTGTACATGTGGTGTGTGTGTGTGTGTGTGTTCTATGGCGTGATGCGCCTACTAACCCGCCACACACACACACACACATTTTTTTGTCATCTTCGACTTGTGACAGACACACTAGTTGTGGTTGATGTGGACGGACTGAAGGCGCTGACGGGCACGCGCGAGGCGATTGATGCGTTTGCTGCACATATCCCGGACGTGGGTCGCTTTGTGATTATGCTGCAGAACGTTGTGCAGCGCGACGTGGTTAAGTGCGTCAAGGCGCTCGTTCACAAGGGGCTTCCCCAACAGGTGAGCTGCATGTGCATGTGTGTGACACCTTTTTGTTGTGTGTGTGCGAGTGTCTTGGTTTTGTTGTGCGTGATGTTTTTATTGTGCGAGTGTGTTGGTTGTGTGCATGTGTGTGTGCATGTGTGTGTATATGTGTGTGTGTGTGTGCTTGTTGTCGTACGTGATTGTGTGTGTGTGATTGGCTGAGCGTCATTTTGAGCTTGGCAGTTCTAGTTTCACCTGCAGGTCACTCACCAGTATTGTGCACGCCTTGAACGCTCTGCCATGAACGCAACCCGCCACCACACAGCGCGTGCTGGTGTCGATGTTCAGCGCCACAGGCAATTTCATCATGACGGGGCCGCTTGCACAATTCCGCACAGACGGCGAGCACGTGCGTCTGTCGTGTGTTCTCCCCGCCCCGGGCATGCAAGCCTCCATGAACATGGGCCTGGTCCTCGCAAGTCCCCTCGCAGGTGCGCTGGGCGTTGAGTGCGTGTGCGTGCAAGTTGTGTGGGCGTTGAGTGCATGTGCGTGCAAGTTGTGTGCATGTGGGTAGGCGTGTTTTGGTGTACAGACCACAAGTTGCCACCGTCTGCACAACATGTTTCACTCTCGTGCCCTTACGCTCGCCCACGCCTTTTCGCTCTGCACCGCTGCTGCCACAGGCGCATACGTTGGTGTCGTCCGCGTACACGCGGATGAGCCGTGCGTGGAGACTGAACAGGGCGAAATTGTCATCAGCAGCAAGACCGCTGCGTCCCAATTCGTCGGTGCGTGACAGCGTGTATGTGGTTGTATCCCCTGTTGCGTGCATGTGTGTTGTTGTTTGTTGTGCAATGTGTGAGTGTGCTGAGCGTTGACTTTGAGTATTGGCTTTCCATCCTCTCAATTCCGCTCTCACACCCACTTCCATCGCGCCCCCGTCCCCTCCAGGCCTTGAGATGCAATCTGCCAACACGTTTGCTGTCACTGTTCCCGGCGCTTCCGAGTCGATGAAGTTCACACGCACCGGTCTCCTCGGATGTGTCAACTTCAAGGCGGTGCGTCCACCTGTTGCTGCTGTTGAGGGGAGGGCACATGCATGTGTGGTTGTGAGTGAGTCCGTGAGTGTGTGTGTGTGTGTGTTAGATGCTTCCCTTGCCCTTACTTGTGTGTCCACGCGCGCAAACCATACCGAAGACCTCCTCACCCTACTCCTCATCGTCATCACCAACCATCACCACCCATTGCCCCTGTGCAGGATGGCAAACCTGAGGTTGTTGTGACGGGACTGCGCCGTGATCTGATGATGGTGGAGGGATTTGCCATTCTTCGATTCGGCATTGAGAACACCATCACCGATTGCCAAGAGGTGCGCGCAGCCGCCATTGCCACTGTCACTCCCCCCCCCCCCCACCACCACCACTGCTGCTGTTGCTGCTGCTGCCGCTGTTGTTTTTGCTGGTATGTGTTGCTGCTTCTCATGCATTCAGCTCAAGTCTCAAGTCCACGCATCATCCCCATGCCCTCTTTGCCCTTGATCCTGCCTCCATCATGTGCGTGGCACCAACAGAAGTACAAGCTGGAGCTTCCGATGAGCGGTCGCGATGCCGCCATCTTCGTCGATTCCGTCGCCGGCAGCAACCGCCTCGTCCTCATCCTCGAAACGGCGTTTGACGTGCTGGACGAGACAGACCCGAAGGACGTGCGTACACACACATTGCTGCGTGCTGCGTGCTGCGTGTTGTGCGTTGATAGTCATAATGCTGTTTTGATATCGCTTGTCTCTCTACTCTTCGCATCGCTGCTGCGATGGCACTTCAACTCACACCATGCGCTGTGTGTTGTACGTTGCAGGTTGATAAGACGCTGCAGCTGCTGGCAGGCCACATTGAGAAGCACAACCAGATTCGCCCCTTTGCCATGCTTTTGGTTGAGGACAATGTGCTTCCACGCAACATCAACGGTGTGGGGCTTGCTTTGTGTGTGTGTGTGTGTGTGTGTGTGTGTGTGTGTGTGCGTGCGTGCGTGCGTGCGTGTGTGTACATGCGTGAAGTGTATATGTTGGGCCTTGTGGCTTGCTTGCTTGTGTGTGTATGTGTGTGTGCTCTTCATGGGCTCTCCCCCTCTCTGTGGAGCACTCTCCAATGTCACATCGCTCACCGATGACAACACGTCATTCATTGCATTGCATCAGGTCGCGTGGACTCCGAGCTGTGTGCGGAGTTGTACACCTCTGGCCGCATTGACGCCTTGCACGTGTGCGTGGACTCCATTTCCTGTATTCCAGACATTGTGGAGCAAACTTCCGCAGAGTCTCTCGACCGCCACGGATCGGGTGCGTGCATGAATGTGCACGTGTGCGCGTACATGCAGTGTGTGTGGGTGTGCGTGTGTGCGTGTGTGTGTGTGCGTGTGTGTGCGTGTGTGCTTGGTGGTGCTGTGCCTTCCTTGTGGGCATCAGTACGCTCGATCACCGCGCTCACACTTCGTCTTCACATGTGTTTGTGCGCGCGTATTCAATGCAGTCGGCATCATTCCTGCACTTGAAACGGCGCCATCACAGCTGTCGCAACTGTCTGGACCGGAAATCCACCTCGAGAGGGTGCGTGTGTTCATGAGCGTGTGCATATGAGCGTGAACGTGTACATGTGTATGTGCGTTCATTTGTGCGTTCTTTCTGTCCTCGCGCACGATTCAATCGTACTCACAATCACCACGCTTGCCACCAACAGAAACTTGCCAGCGCCAACACGATCCTGAGTCTGCTCGTGAAGAAACTGCGTCGCTCCCCGGACACGCCCATCTTCACCTTTGTGGACGAAAAGGTGCGCGTGCGCTTGATGTGTGTGTTTGTGTATGTATGTGTGTGTGTGTGTGTGCTTGTGTTTGTATGTGTGTGTGTGTGGTACGCCTTATTCGGTGACACACCCTCTGACGCACGTCTTATTTTGTCCATCCTGTCCATGGTACTTACGTTCGTGTGCGTGCGTGCGTGTGCTTGTGCATACATGCAGGCAAAGCGACTTGCAGTGACGCCGAAGATGTTGATGACACGCGCGCGTCAGATTGCGCAATCGCTTCACAACGCGGACGTGAAAGTGCACGACGTTGTCCTTGTCATTGTCCCGCCATCCCCAGACCTGGTGCGCTCACATGTGTTTGTGTGTGCGTGTGTGTGTTTGTGTGTGCGTGTGCGCGTGTGCGTGTGTGCAATCGCCCAGTGCACCTGCTGTGAACCATCCACGTCATCTCCTCCTCCCTCCTGCTGCTCCTGCTCCTGCTCCTGCTCCTCCTCCTCCTCCTCTTGCTTTACCAACCACTTTTTGATTGCAGGTTGCATCCTTCTACGCGTGTCTGCTGCTTGGCGCTCTCCCCATCCTGCTGCCGACAGCGACGACGCGCGATGATGTGCACACCATGAGTAAGTGAATGGAATGGACATGGGTGCTGTGACACGCTGTATTGTCGAGCACATGATGTGCAACTGTGCGCATGATGTGCAGTCCCGCGTGCGAACGTTCGACCGTTTTGGCTCAGGCACCCTCCATGCTCGCGCCTCCTCATCCCCAATCACCTTTACCCTGTGGCAAATAATCCTGCGTTGTGCGCAGTGCCTGTGTGGGAGAGTGTTGCGCAGGCGATGCACGCAGGTGTGATGCTGACCACTCAGAAGCATCACCAGCGCGTTAAGCTCGCGGCAAAGGCCGAACTTCGCGGACGTGCGTGTGCTCATGATGCGATCAAGTGCTGTTCGTGTGGTGGTGTGCTGTTCGTGTGATGTCATATGTCGTCATCCTGGGCTTGCTTACCATGCCATTTCTAGTGTTTCTTGGTTGCCCCTTTGCATGTGCTGGCATCTCACCCCTCCTCAATCCTGTCGCATTCGTACATACGTGTGTGCGTGTGTGCGTACATGTGTGCAGTTGAAGTCCAGACAGTGTTTGCTGATGCGAAGCAAGGGCGCGAGTACACGAACATGCACACACCCGATGACCGCCGCAGCGCCGCCTTTGTCGAGTACACTGTCAGCAGCTCCGGCCTCCTCACGGGCGTCGAGGTCTCACACCTCAACATGCTCGCCCTCGGCCAGGCCTTCAAGGTCCGTTTGTTCGTGTGTGTGTGGTTGTAAGTGTGTGTGTGTGTGTGTGTGTGTGTGTGTGTGTGTGTGTGTGTGTGTGTGTGTGTAAGTGTTGTGTGTGTTGTGTGTGCTGCGTTGTGTTTAGATTGTGGGCAGTTTTGGGTTGACGGCATGCCTCACTTTGCCCGGTGTCGCACGGGGTTTGATGCATGCTGGTCCATGTGTTTTGCAGAATCAGCTGTCACTGGATGACACGCACACGATTCTTGTGCAAGCGGATCCGACGTCCGGCCTCGGTCTTGCGTCATGGATGTACCTGCACCTCAGTACGTTGTTGCGCACTGTATTTGTTGTGTGTGTGTGTGTGTGTATGGCACTCGTTCCTTGATCGCATTTGCACACTGCGTTCACGTGGGCTTTTTTTTTTTTTTTGGTATTCATGTGCGCGGACGTTGTTCTTTCGCCACTCTGCTCACCGATACGTCTCCGACACACATCCGTGCACACATGCGCATGCGTGTGCAGTTGTTGACCAGCCCTTTCTCCTCGTCTCCGAAGGACGACAGGTCAACCCGCTCCTCTGGCTCCACCTCGTCGCAAAACTCGACGGTGTGTGCGTGTGTGTGTGTGTGTGTGTGTGTGTGTGTGTGTGTGTGTGTGTGTGTGTGTGTGTGTGTGTGTGTGTGTGTGTGCATGAATGTCTCTTTTTGTCTCCCCGAATATTTTGCGTGTGCGTTGCCTCACCGTGACATGCCTGCTTGCTTCTTGCTTTTTGCATCCTCCTGTGTTGGGTTTCAGTTGAGGTGGCCATCTGTACGCACAAGGCGCTCTTTGCGAGTGTTCAGCAGTTCCTCCGCTGTCCGCCACAGCTTGACAAGGGTGAGCCAATTGCGGCCTGTGTGTGTGTATGTATGTATGTGTGTGTGTGCGCGCGCGCGTGTGCATGTGAGTGTGTGTGTGCGCTTGTGTCGTGTCCACATCAGTGTCCACGTATCGTCCACACCACCGCCGCATGCATTCCACACCCCATCCCTTCACACCGCTCACCGCCGCCACACGTAACTCCAATCGCCATCACCACCACCATCAGGGCTGTCGTGCCTGTCGCGGTGCATCGTTCTCTGCCGTGACCGCCCCTGGTCCTCGCTCATCTCCTACTTTGAGACGGCATTCAAGGTGCGGGCGTGATGATGGCGGTGATTGATGCCGTGTGGAAGAGAGGAATGCATTGTGTGAGCGTGTGTGATTGCATGTGAGTCGCGTTTGCGTACGTCTTTATGAGCGAGGGAGCGATACATGTTAGAGGAAGGCAAATGTATTGGTTTCGATGGGAATGCACGAGGGATCTCGCTCCCTCGCTCGCTCTCGCACTCTCCTATCATCACTATCACCATCACCATTATTTGCTGCTCCCCATCCTGTCCCTTCTCATCACCACCGCCGCCGTCGCCACCACCACCATCCAGCTGATGAAGCTGCGGCGCCACGCGTTGTGCCCCGTGCTGGAAACGCGTCCAAACGCGTTTGTGAGCATGGTTCCTCCAGACGCCGATCGGCAACAGGCGTTTGTTGATCTCCTCAAACTCTCGCGCGACCGCATCCAGGTTCGTGTGGCCTTTGGTGTTGTGTTTGTCTGCTGTGTTGTGTTTGTAATCTGCGGTCGTGTGTTGATGGGTTGTCGTTGAGACGAATGTGTGTGTTTGTGTATGTGTGTGTTCGTTCACCCTGCTTTGACCCTGACCTGTGCTCTTGCCTCCGTTTGCGCCTGCAGCTGCTTGAGCGTGGCTCCACCTCGGAGGCGTGTGTATGGGCACTCGGCGAGCCCGTCCCAGGAACAAAGGTCTGGCGTGTGTATGTGTGTGTGTGTGTGTGTGTGTTTGTATGCATCTGTGCATGTGTGTGCTTGTATGCATCTGTGCATGTGTGTGTGTGTGTGTTTGTGTGTGCACTTGTCTCCTCCCCTCCTTTCATTGCCTCACGGTGTCACTGGTGCGTGGTGTGTAACAGATTGCCGTCTTGACGCCGGACAAGAACGCGCTCTGCGGCGCGCAGCAGATTGGCGAGATTTGCGTCTCCAGCGCACACAACGTCAAGCGTTACACGGGCATCGGTGAGGCGCCAATGCTCTGTGTGTGCGTATGTGTGAATGGGTGTATGTGGTTTGTGTGTGTGTGTGTATGTGGTGCGCATGTGTGAATGTGCTATGTGTGTGTATGTGGTGCGCATGTGTGTATGCGGTTTGTGTGTGTGTGTGTGTGTGTGTGTGTGTGTGTGTGTGTGTGTGTGTGTGTGTTGTCGTGTCCTTGGTATCGCATGCACTCACCACCACAACACCCACAACTGCCACAACGACGACCACGACGACCACCACCACCTCAGCCCAAGCGTCTGTGCGGAGCGTGAACCGGCGGCTGCTTGGTGCGCACCTCCCCGGGCGACAGGAGGCGTATGCGCGCACAGGCCTGTACGGGTTCCTGCACGACGGACAGGTGTTTGTGGTCGGCAACAGGGAGGATGACGTCACCCAGCTTGGCCTCAGGTAACGCCGGCAGTGCTGGCGGTGGCGGTGATGGTGACAATGATTGTCAACAGTGGAGGTGCCACTGTTCCTGGAAGGCTGTTTGAGGTGATTTGCCAGTGACAAGTGGCTTTGCCGGCTTCTCCTTCGACTCCTTCGACTTTCTTGCTCACCAACCCCCCCCCCCCAACACACACACACACACACATTACTGCTGGCACGTTCTTGGGTTGCTTGCAGGCACCATCCCGTGGACATTGAGGACACGATTGAGCGCGCGTTTACGTTCATTGAGATTGGCGGGTGCGCGGTGTTTGGCATGGGCGACTATGTGATTGTCGCTGTTGAGGCAGAGGAGCTGCAGCAGCCCGTGCTCACCGCCGCCCCACGCATCATCTCCCTCTGCATGAACAAGCACAGGGTGAGTTTTTTTTTTTTTTTGTTTTTTTTTCCAAGTGGTCGTCACGGTACTCGGCCTGGGGTGGTTGGGAGAGGAAGGGAGGGAGGAGGGGAGGAGGCTGGTGTTGATGCCTGCACTTTGCGAGTGTGGCGTTGCGCTTGCTGTGTGACCGCTGTGTTTCGTGGTGTTGCCCTCCCAATCAACCACGCCCTCCCTGCACTGCCTCACCTTCCTTCCACACACGTGTCTCTGCTTTCCCGCCAACTCCCCCCCCCAACTTTTTTTCCCCGCTTGCTTCCATCTCACATGCGTCCATCCACAACCAACCACCAATGATGCACCCGCACCAGGTTGTGGTGAATGCGGTGATGTTTCTGCAGCGTGACTCCATCCCCATGGACTCTGGCGGCATGAAGCAACGGCAGCTGCTCAAGCACCTCATCACCAGCGGCCAGCTCAAGCCCGCGCACGCCATCCTCAACCACACCATGGCTTGATGATGCGCACACGTGCATGCGCACGTTATCTGTGCTTTCTAGTGTGGGTGTGCGCGCGTGCGTGTGTGTGTGTGTGCATGCGTGTGTGTGTGCATGCGTGTGTGTGTGCATGCGAAAGTGTGTACATGACGTTGCTTCTTACATGGAATAGCTTTTTGGGCGTTATGTGTTGTTGAATCACAGCATCCCGCATCATCGTCCCCAACAGTCCCGTGTGTTTTGTGTGCTTCCAGCGTCGTGTTATGTTGTTACTTTGAGCTGTTCGTTCCTGATCGCTGTTTTCTTTATCTGCTCCTACACTGAAGCGTAATCGTGTGTGAAAGCCGACCCTTGTGTCCCATTCATTGATTCATTGTCACTGTGTACAAATATACCCATCTTAACCAACACGCGCGCGGGTGCAACGCGACAAGGGCAGGATTCAGAGAAAGATGCCGAGGCAACGGAGGGAGAGGCATGATTTGATGTTGGCAATGGGACAGAGACACAGCAACATGGCAGAGGAAGGGAATGGGGTCGGATATGATGCACACACACACACACACACACACACACACACACACACACACACACACACACACACACACACACACACACACAGAAAGAAAAGGGGGGGTGGAGTGTGTGTGTGTATGAGTGAGAGAGACATTCACACACACACACACACACACACACACACACACACACACACACACACACACACACACACAGATACAGACACACACACACACACACATTCACACAATTTCACACACACACAGATACAGACACACACACACACACATTCACACAATTTCACACACACACACATACACACACTCAGCAAGTTCTACTCGTCATCATCGTCGTCATCTTCACTGCTGCTGCTGCTGTAATCGACAAGGCCGCCCTTCTTCGTTGCGGGAACAGCGCCGTGTGTCGCTTCACTCGCCTTCCTCCTCTCGTCCTTCCTTTCGTGCTTCTCCGTCGCCACCACCCCAGCACCGCTGCTCTGCTGCTGCTGTTGTTGTGTCTTTGCACGCTTCGCCTTTGTTTCGCTGTCATCGTCGTCGCCGGCGTTGTCACTGCTGGTCTTTGTGCTCTTGCGGCGCACCAGGCCTTGCAGCAGCTTGCTCTGCAACCACACGTGAGAAAGGGGGGGGGAACGGAAATGGGGTTATTGGAGATATCGAGAGACGAAGAAGAGGGAGGGGCAGGGAAGTGAAAGAGACAGACAGATAGAGAGACAGACAGATAGAGAGACAGACAGATAGAGACACACACACACACACACACACATAGACAGATGGACAGACAAACAGACAGATAGACACACACACACACACACACACACACACACACACACACACACACACACACACACACCTGTGACTTTGACTCGAGCTTGCGTCTCGCCTCTTGCAACTTCTTCTCCAGGACGCTGACGGTGGGTTGCGCTGGCGGCTCTTCGACCGTGGTTACGACCGTTTCCTCGGCCTGCCGTCTGTACTCGCGAATGGCATGGCCTTCCTCCACCCACCTGTACCATTGGTATTGGGCATGCACGTGAGGTGAGGGTGCCAGCTGCACGTTCGTGATGCAACTGCGGAATCAAGACAGGGAAGACAAGGGGATGGCACAACACAAACACACACAGTCACACAAGCAGGTGCAGACACACACACACACACACACACACACACACACACACACACACACACACACACACCTCTGATCCTCCTCTTCAATCTGCTTCTGCCTGCACTCTTCGAGGAACTTGGCCTCCTCCTCGTCCAGCCCAGAGTAGATCTGGTTCTCTGCACAAACATATGAGCACCAAAGGCAAGGCAGAAGTCACACAGCATCTCGTGCGTGAGGAGAGGGGATGGTGCTGCTTGTTCGCTGGTCAAGGCGTGTGCGCACATCACCACCGACCCATATGTACTCACTGAACTTGAGCTTCTCCTCAAATTCCTCCTGCTTCTTGACGCGCTGCTCCTTCAGCTTCTCATACAGTGGGCGCGGGTCGTATGGTGCGTCCGGTCGCTCTGTGTACACGACAGTGTGCGTGCGTGGGTTTGGATTAGGGTGGGATGAGGTGGATGCAGCGCAACGGTACACACACACACACACACACAGACACACACACACACAGACACACACACACACAGACACACACACACACACACACACACACACACACACACACACACACACACACACACACACACACACACACACACACACACACACACACACACACACACACACACACATGCCTACCCAAGGCTTCGCCTGGCTTGCGGTTGCGTTCCCACTCCTCTTGTTGCAGCTTGCGTGTCTCCTGCACTTCATCTTCCGTCACAAAGCGCCGAAAGTTCATGTTGGTGGTTGTTGGCGTTGTTGTCAGCGTTGTTGTTGGTGTTTGTGATGTGACACTCGTTTCTCTCACCCCCACCCACACAACCCAGTCTCACTCTCACACTCTCGCTTCACTTGCTGCTTGTTGCTTGTTTGTATTCACGTCACCAACACGTTGAGCCTGACACACGTCACACCTTCTACTCACATACACACACGCACAAACGTTGTGTGGCGCACTGAACACGCCTCGTGCCACACACCCTACGCACAGGAACGCCACGCACTGCGGCACCAGCAGTCACGCACACGAGCCACCACATCACTGCCAAAGACCGCAGAACAAGGAAGCAAGCCGCAAGTGAGATTGGTGGTGGGGAGGTGGTGGTGGAGGTGGTGTGTAGTGATCAGAGAGGTATGGCATGGGCCCCCCATGTGCAAGTGTAACGGATGACCATGTTGGGCAGACACAAGCCGACACACATGCCAATACAACCGCAACGGCGCGCAGGCACAAAAGCACATACACAGACACATGTACACACACCCAGACATATGCACATGCACACACACGTACATATGCACACAGACACACAGACACACAGACACACAGACACACACACACACACACACACTTACACATGCACACACACACTCTCTCTTTTCTCCTCCCTACACACGCGGACAACTTCCTTTCCCGTCCCCCCCCCGTCTGCCCAACAAAGATACGTACGTTCTTGACTTTGATGTTGTACTTCTTCTGGTAGTCGGCAAGGTTCTTGTTCGTTGTCTCCAGCTGCTTCTGCAGCTGCTTCACCAAATCCTCAATCTGTAGCAAGGGATAATGAGCAGGCAGGCAATTTCACAGATCAGTGCTTGTGTGGTTGTGCGTGTTTGTGCATGCGTGTGCTTGCGGTGAAGCGAAACAACAGCGCCAAGGACCGCCGAACAGGAAAGTCTCAGAAACAACGAAAGTAACACCAACAGAAACACACACACACATGCAAACGCAAAGCTGTGTACCTGTGACTTGTTTTGTTTGATGGCGGGAAGCACCTCGGCAACTGTGCGCTCGATGAGGACGCCGCTGACCATTCGGAAGCACTTGCGGTCGGCTTCTGTCTTGCTTAGCGCATCCTCCACAACCCTGTTGTTGGAGGTGAGGGACAGCAGTGTGCGTGTGTGTGCGTGTGTGTGCGTGTGTGTGCGTGTGTGTGCGTGTGTGTGCGTGCGTGTGTTGTGTGGAGCATGCTTTCATCAGTGACACGGCAACGCACAGGAAAAGAGAAAGTGTAGTGTTGCGCAGTCACACGGATACACCACGCCATCCGCAATCTAACTCTTCATTCACCAACACGTGGGCGCACATACTTTGCCCCCCCCCCCCCTTACACACATACACGCACTTACACATACATACACGCACACGCATACACGCATACACGCATACACGCATACACGCATACACGCACACGCATACACGCACACGCACACATGCACACGTGCTTTGTGAACGGACTTGTGTTCTTCCACGTCGCCGCCGAGCTCAGCAATCTTCTGGTTCAACTCCATCTGTTGCTGGCGCATCTGCTGGAAACGGTAGACGATCTCCTGATCGCTTGGGCGCTCCTCGGACCTGCCGCCATCCACACACGCACACATCACAACAAAGCAACCACACGTGAGCAGTGACAACAACGAGCAAAGACAAAGGCAAAGCAGCAAAGCAGCAAAGCAGCAAAGCAGCAAAGCAGCAAAGTAGCAAAGCAGCAAAGCAGCAAAGCAGCAAAGCAGCAAAGCAGCGACTACATCCACCACCCACATGATTGGCTGTGTTGGTTGGTGTGGTCGGTTTGGTTGCCTGCTCGCTTTTCCTTGTTGTGTGAGAAGGCAAAATTGCCTTTGCGCGTCGTCAATTTTGACCTTCAAGGTGGGCGAGCACAAAAAGAAGAAGAGCCAAAAGCAGAGCTCTGTTGTGTTTTGTGTGTGTTTTACCCCTTGCTTCTTGTTCCACACAAACAAAAGAGCCAAAAACGCAGCAACCACCAGCACCAGCGCTGCGCTCCGCCTTGCTTGCTTGCTGACAGAGTGTTGTTTTGGGGTGTGTCCACTCAGCTTCTTGAGCGCCACCCGTCCGTGTCGCGGTTCACACCCTTTCGCTTGTCGTCGCAAGTGGGTTGCAGTGCCAAGCACCCATCGCTGCCCCTCGAGTTGGCAGTGAGACCCTTCACCACTTTACACGACTTCCAGGGCGTCCTCTTCCTTCCTGGTGTTTTGGTTGGTTGGTTGGTTCGTGTGCTGAAGGTGGCTGTCGACACTCTTGTATTCCACCAAACACACACACACACACACAAACACACACATACACACATCAACACACACATACATACACACACACACATACACACATCAACACACACACACACACATACACACACATACACAGACACATACACACAAGCACCACCACCATGTCGGAGGAGAGCATCAACAGCACAGACGGCCCCACGCTGCCGCCGAAAGCGTCCCACCAGCACAACCGACAACAGCAACAACAGCAGCAGGCAGCTACCACAGCAACAGCTACAGCAGCAACACGACAGAAGCAGAGCGACCGCTTTGTGGAGGTCACGCTGGAGCGTGATCCCAAAGTTGGCTTTGGCTTCTCCATCTACGGCGGGCAAGTCATGCCGGGCGCCCTCATCATGCTCCCCGTGCGCATCTGCAAAATGAAGCCCAACACTCCGGCCAGCCTGAGCGGCAAAATCAAGATCGACCACCGCATTGTCGCCATCAACGGGACGGACGTGTCCAGCTCCAGCCACGGCGACGTGGTGCGCTTGCTCAAGGCGTCTCCAGAGACACTCGTGCTTCGCCTGCAGGACGACATTGAGGAGGCGCAGTCCATCCTCAAGCACCAGCTCAAGGCCACGGGCCTCAGAAACGCAGACCAGGACAAGCGACGGCAGCAGCAGCAACAACAACAACAGCAGCAGCAGCAGCAAAACACCAAGGAGAGCGCTGGCCAAGAAGCGCAGGGCAGCAAGAGTGAAAGCGGTGGGAAGGCAAACAACGAGGCTGCACAACAGCAGGCGTCTGTGCTCAAACCCGGCGCACAGGCGTATCTGCCGGGCAAGACACAGGATGCCACGGACGCATCGTCGTCGGCAGCGCAGGCGGTGAACGAAACCGTCCGCATCATGTACAACTTCAACGGGTCAGACCCCTCTGAGCTGACGTTGCAGCGCGCAGACCTCGTGCACGTGAGCATCCGGCGCAGTGACGGGTGGTGTCTTGGCCGCTGCTTCCGGACAGGGCAGCAGGGGCTGTTCCCAGGTAACTTTGCATCGAAGGTGCGCCTGAAGCCCATGCAGCAGCAGGCGGAGAGCATATACGCGGAGATCCAGCACGTGGCGGGCGACTCTGCAGAGAACATCTACGAGGAGCTTGGCCAGGAGCGCGCCGGCAGCAACAAGGACAGCAGACCGCGCACACCAACATACCAGCACCTGCCACCCCAGCAGCAGCAGCAACAGCAGCAGCAGCAGCAGTCATCTGGGAAGCAGGAGGAGGACCCATACGGGCAACCATACCCGACAGCACAACAGCAGCAGCAGCAGCAGGGGCAACAAGAGGAGATCTACCAGCCCATGCGTGAGCAGGTGGTGCGTCGCACGCAGGACGCCATTGAGCTTGCAAACGGCGACATTTACGCGGTAGTGGCAAAACCGCCTGTCCGGCGGCCATACGAGGAGGAGGCGGTGTACTCCACGGCCGGCCACGTGGACGAAGCGGGGCCGCAGTATGTGTATGACGATGATGACGACAGCATGCTGTATGCCAAGCTGGATGACGTGGACGGCGATGGCGCCCCGCCCCCAGTCCCATCTCGAAAGTCAGTAGTGCTAGTTGTGTGTATGTGTGTATGTGTGTATGTGTGTTTTGTGTGTGTATGTGTGTTTTGTGTGTGTATGTGTGTATGTGTGTGTGTG